AAGTTATACTTTAATCTATCCTTACAAACTATAATTGAGGAATAACCGACCAATTAAGAGTAACAAATAATACAAATCACAGTAAACCAACTATCTTTTTATTTCAACTTTAGTGATATACATCACTAAAAAGTAAAAACTGATTGGATAAAAATAGTTTATGAAAAATACTCTGTCATGCAAATTTTCATTTAAAAACATGTCTTTGAAATGATTCAAAAGTTATCCATACTATGAACCTGGCCTTTTTGACATTTGATTTTCAACCGGCTGAATTGTCAGAGTTCTGGCCTTTCTTAACTTTTGTTGTAGTCTTCAAATTGAAAGATTCATTCTGCCGATTGGCTATTCCTATATATTTAAATAGGTAATAAATAAGCTTCCAATATATTTTTTTTTCATAAAAAAATTTTATTTTGTTAATGGCCATTTCCAGACACTTGGTATGCACTAGATATACCAAACCATCTATTTTGTTTATAAGATATAAATGATAATGACTAAGCTCAATACATTTTAAAATTAACATTTTTGTTTTTTTTTTAAATCAAGTAGTTTAAAATAAACTTAAATTAAGTTAAAATGTTTATTAAAATAATAAATATATTTTGTTTCAGGTAATCGCTGGATTGTGTCAATTTGGTCTGCAACACCTCATAAACAGCCACCTCTGGATTTTACTGAACTTGAAAAACAATACGAACCAGTGCAATATATTCAGCCATACCATACAGAAGATTATCAAGAGATTCATAGGAATGAATCAGTAGTGCCCTCCATCTCTCAACAACCACTGACATCATCACACGAATATCTAGATTTACACAAAAGAGAAAGTGATATTTAAAATGGCATTTTTGATGCTTTATCCTGCTATTGCAGCTCTTTCAATGTTTGTTTTGACTGTAATTATATTGATGCTTAGATTTGGTGGACGTTGGTGCAAGCTCCGACACACAACCTTTGCTGAACAAGAATATTGGAATGAAGATGAAGCATATGAACAAAAAGTATCATATGCATAATTATTAAACAGAGTTGAAACATTTTCTTTTCAACTTAGTTACATTTTATTTTTACTAAAATTTTATATAAGAATACTTTAATTTCACTTCTATCGAATTTTGTCTCTCTCCTCCCCATATTAAAGTAATTGCTGACTCTTTCTTTGTTTACCATGAAGACATTTCAATTGGGAAGTTTTCGAGGTTTCATTCCAGGTGGGTTCACAACATATCCGTACTATAAAATATTGTTGTACTGAAGCATCAAGCCTTAGTGTTGAACTACACAGTGCCTTGCAATGTTGAACTACAGTGCCTTACATAATATATAATTTTACAACTTTTACTCAAAAACAACAATCTGTAGTGTGTTGTTTAGTAAATTTAAAATTACCTTGAAATGTTGGGACCTCACATGCATGCATTTATAACCTGTATGAAAAGTTTTAAAAATTAATTATTGTGGCTTATTCCTGCAATTTATTAATTCCATATGGTTAAGGTAATCAATTACATTAAAATTTCCTTTCCACTTAAAACTATATTTTATGTTTACTAATATTTTATATAAAAAATACTTTAATTACACTTTATCTAGATATGAATGCTATACACAAGATATTACATACTGTAGCATCAAGATGTACAATGTTGAACTGCAATGCTTTACACAAAATGTGATTTTTTTACAACATTACTCAAAAAATAACAATTTGAAGTGTATTGACCCATTGATGAATAGAATGCATGCAATATGCACAATCTCTCTCCACTCCCCGGGTTGACTGGAAGGAATGCCCAAATGGCATTAAGTCTGCCTTTTGTAATCCTTTTTTTAAGGTTTTGCAATAAAGCATAAATAAAATAAATAAATGTTATTATACATACAATAAATATGTTTATAATATGTATGAAATAAAACTTTAATTATTTATTATGTTGAGGCACACATATGTAAGCATTTTAATTCTTGTTTTAAGTTTTGAATACATTTGTAATTGAATTCCGTCCAATAAATGCTTTTTTTATAATAAATTTTGTTTTTTATAATGTGATAACATAACACTACATTTTTTACGTTTGGTTACGAACAATATTTGAATTCTCTTTCGTTGGCTGCTAATATATCCATTGTGTAACACTTCCATTCCATCTTTGACTTCATGATTTCATACATGAAAAAGGACTTCATACCCTTTGTTGTTAACGAAATAATAATACGGCTGAACTCACGTCCAATCGGTAATGTACAGACTAGTTTCGGACCTGTCGGAGGTCCTTTATCAGAGTTCGCATTGGCTAGGGTGCCTGTTATTTAACCGGGTGTTTATTTTGCCGGGGTGGTTGTTATTTAATGTAAATACCCTTTAATTCAAAAACTATCAAAAAATTAAATGTAGACGCCCCTTATAAAAATTAAAAAGCTACATTTTTTTTATACGAAAAGTTGTCAAACGTGCAGGCGGTTCACCTGATGTTAAGTGAATACCGCCGCCCGTGGACATCTGCCACACCCGAAGGTTACAGATGCGTTGACAACCTTTTAAAAATTGGGCTCCGACTACCTGATTCACCAGACGAAACGCGAAAGTATTTGTCATACTTCCACTTTACGCTGGTCTTCTGTGAGGTCGTGGTACTTACCCGGACGGGCCTGCCCATTCGTGCAACAGCCGAGGCTGCTGCGTGGCCCTACCACATCGTACACAAGCATCGAGCAATCGCAGCTAAAAAAAATGATAAGTTGATGGAAGGAAGTTATGAAGCCAAAAGTCTAACGCTAAAGGTAATGGGTAATTTTAAAGTAAAAGAACCAGCGATATGCTTAACCGGTTTATTGATCTTGGGCTTGACCAAACAGTATCAAGTGTACGTCTTTCTCAAATGTTGCAAAACTGTGTTAGAAAGAAAATTGAGGATGTTAACAAAAATAACAATTTCAATAGAAACTAGTTAAATACAATAATTTTCGTTTCAAAAACTTTTGAAACTAAAGTTTCACATCACATCTTATGGTTTTTTATGTTTTAGGCAGAATTACATTCTTTGAATCATTCGGAGTAAATCTGAAAATGGCCCACAGACGGCACCGAAACATAACGCAAGTTCTAATAGCAGACACCTTCTTTGGTTCTCTTGTGAAAAATTCAACCTTTATGGTGGACTACGCACGCACGTCGAAAGGAAGCGTATATAGAGGTAGGGATTCGTTATTTAGATTGGCTACTTCAAAGTCACACACAATACAGAAACAAAGAGAACTAAATGGGTAGTGTTTTCACAACGGATTGGGAACATATTCAACAAGAAACCATTTTACTTTGTTAAGGAAAATTAAAATATATATGTCGCAGGATCAAGATGTGGCGCTATAATTTAATTACAACACCATCTATTGGTAGTTCTCGAAAACGTCAAGTAGTGCGCTTGAGTAAGGTCGATACAGGAAGTGAGACAGCGTACTTGACGGTTATGAGTTATGGAAGTCAATTGACATCGGACACGGGGGTGTATTCTGGACGTGCTCGGGCACGCCACTTAGAAAAGGGACGGCGGTGCGAACGGTCATCTTCCTGTATCCAACTTGCTACGTTTCCATTCAATGACTTCAGTGTGGTTAATTATTATTTTCGTTATTGTTGATTTTAATCGAACAAGTAAATTACAATGAGGGATCTGACAACGAGTTGTCCCATGTGATCCACCTATCTCCGACATCAGAAGTGGGATTCGACTACCGTGTTTTAGTCCGTACATCCTGATATAAAGCGTTTTGGCTGTTTAAAGAATCGGTGAATTATTTTTTTTCTTTGCGTGCCTACCGTCGTAAAATAAAAAAAAGGAAATGGTCATAAATCTTTCGATTAAGTGTAACGACAGTTTTGGTGAGTACGTTCCAGGTATTTTTTTATGAATAATCAGTAAGAAGAAGTTTATTAGCGAAAACATTTTGTAATAGAGTCTTGTTCATTGTTTAGAAGGGGATACAAAAACATGGGTTAACGAATGGGTAATAAATGCCTGCAGTTGGAGTAATTTTAAACAGGAGTTTGTGTCCTAGAAAACCTGGCATGGCGAAAATTTTGGACGAAGTTATGAGTTGCAATTCGCATACATTTTTTACATAGACTGACCATGCCCGTCGGTTCCTTTTATAGTTACGCGTCGTCGTAACTATAAGCGTCAATAGTAATACGGGGCATTACTGAACCGTAGGATTTTTGTTCTTTTTGAATAGCTATACTCAGTGGTACCTGGACTCGTTTTTGTAATAATTTTTGCGTAGCCATAGTAAAAGATAGATTGAAAACAGTTTTTAAGATAAGCTTTGGTTTAGTGAATAATTGAATAAAAGTGAATAAATGAATTCTTTTGTAGTGAATAACCAGAATAATTTTGTTTTTATTATGACCGAGTTTGAGGATCCTTGGCTATGCGTAGCCAGACATCATATGCAGAGCGTAAATGTTTTAGTTTATCTGATTTGATTATGTCTCTTGTGAGATATCGCCAAAGTTGAGTTAGTTGGGCTTTAAAGTGTCCTGATACTTAATTTTGATATTGAAAAGATTGTAAAAAAAGCTAATTATTTCAATAAAGGTTTACTAGTTTCGTTAAAATTAAATGCAGGCTTCTATCGAATCTTGAGTTTTCTAGTTTCTAGTTGGGTCAGGAGTGACCGAGCTATGTGATACTGTGTGATGAATATTGTTCCAGATTAACACACGAGGGCGCTTTTCATGCAGGATGGCAGTGTCGTAGCTAGAAATTAGTATGGATACTAAACGAAACAAAAACGCGCCATGAGATGTGACCATACGCCAAACCTGGGATGTGATCATATGCTTCCACAAGAACGTTTGACGTCGGGGCACTACAATACGCGCGCATGACTATTTATGTTCGAGCTTTGGTGAGATAATATCAATTTCCAGTGAAATTGGAGAGAACTTAATGATGATGAAGGGGTTAGACCTTCATGTGAGAAGTGACCTATTTAATCATTAGTATGCCGTATGAAGGCATGATGCTGTTTTGTGGGTACTGGTCAAGTACCACTTGCGTGCTGGGTTTAGTCATGGCAATGTTTAGTGGGTACTGGTTAAATCCCACTTGCATGCCGGATTTAGGCTTGGCAGTGTTTTGTGGGTACTGGTTAAGACCCACTTGCCTGCTGGATTTAGGTATGGCAGTGTTTTGTGGGTACTGGTTAAGTCCCACTCGCATGCCGGATTTAGGCTTGGCAGTGTTTAGTGGGTACTGGTTAAGTCCCGCTTGCGTGCCGAATTTACGTATGGCAGTTTTTTGTGGGTACTGGTTAAGACCCACTTGCCTGCTGGATTTAGGTATGGCAGTGTTTTGTAAGTAATGGTTAAGTCCCACTTGCATGTCGGATTTAGGCATGGCAGTGTTAGCTGGGTACTGGTTAAGTCCCACTTGCGTGCCGTATGGAGACAAAAGTGCATTTTGTGTTTAAATTGGGTACCGGATTTAGGTCTCGCCTATTTGGTATCGGTTGGAGACAACAGGTTGAGGCGTATTGCATACTAGACTCATTGATTTCCGATTGAAAGTTATTAGTTATTTATTTCCATTGTAACCAGATAAACTGTTCATTACATGCGGTTTAGCATAAGACGATGTTGGCTTAAGCTTGATATGCTTCACACGAGGAGGTGTGAATTGTCAGAATGGCCGTGTCGCAGGATCAAGATGTGGCGCTATAATTTGATTACAACACCATCTATTGGTAGTTCTCGGAAACGTCAAGTAGTGCGCTTGAGAAAGGTCGATACAGGAAGTGAGAGAGCGGACTTGACGGTTATGAGTTGGAAAGTCAATTGACATCGGACACGGGGGTGTATTCTGGAGGTGCTCGGGCACGCCACTTAGAAAAGGGACGGCGGTGCGATCGGTCATCTTCCTGTATCCAACTTGCTACGTTTCCATTCAATTACATCAGTGTGATTAATAATTATTCTCGTTATTGTTGATTTTAATCGAACAAGTAAATTACAATGAAGGATCCGACAACGAGTTGTCCCATGTGATCCACCTATCTCCGACATATATATAAAATTTTCATAGAATTTATTAATTTACGCCCTTTGAACTATATCATTATTTCTTATGAATTTAATCGAAATATTAGATTAAAATTTTAAGAATTAAAGTTCTTAAAATTATGAAAGTACCAGCCGACCCACGGCATAATCTAATACTGTTGGCTCGATGTAACAAAATGGAAAAAGATTTTTCATCGTCACAGGTAAGTTCGATGTAACAAAATGGAAAAAGATTTTTCATCGTCACAGGTAATGTTGTAAATCGACTACTGTGTAACTTCTAAGTCAAGAAAAGGTACTTTTACCAAATGTGACCTGCCTGTGCTGTTATAGAAACCAAGTGGATCCCCCAAGTAGGGGATTATCCATAATAATCCCCTACTGCTATTATTTATTTCTGTTGTTTTGTACTTAAAGACATTAAGTCTTTGATAAACACATGAAATTAGAGCACAGTGTGATTTGTGGATTGGATTTAACTTACAATATTTGATAATCCTTTACAGAATTTGGAATTGTTTAAAAAAAACAATTTTCTTACGCTTAAATTGATTTTACAAAGGGTTATAAATAATAAGGCGACATAAAAACACTTGTTTATTAATTTAATTAATTAGTCCACTCCATAACCAATTTCTTAAAAATTATGTAATGGGATAATTAAAAAAGTGGTATGTACATAAAGTTCATATTTGGAATAAATCATCGAATTCGTATGATCATGTGATATGACGCTGCCGTTGACCGCATATTAAGTTATTGCAAATAATACATTATACTTGTACTCTCTTGGTATTGCTCATCAAATCTTCTCAAACCGACGGTTTGATGCTTGTACATTTATTTACTTTGACATAAATTTGAACTTGACTTAAGGCTATTAAGTCGAAATTTTTTCATCTCATTAATAATAACTTACATAAAACCTCTTATAGAATAGATGTAACTAGAACGAGTCGTACAGGTGTTTTAATCTCTAATCATAGTTGTATATATTGGAATATCGTCCTTGTGTAACTGTGTTAACCCTTAAGTGACATTGATCAGATCGCATTTAATTGCATGATTATCATTATTTAATTACAATGTTAATAAATTAGGTTTCTGAAAACGTTATAATGTTTCCAATGTACATGAAAACAGATGACAGTCCAATAGCAGATTTTAATCAAACTCAAATACCCTTAACACTAGTTCACTAACATGATTTCAGTATCCATTATCTATTCCTAGGGGGTCAAACTTGAACTATACAACAAGGGTTGACAAAGTGAAAGAGAGCGCGGTGGCATCATCGGTTAAATGTGCTGTTCAATTATTCAATAAAAAAATATAATTTTATGGTGTAACCTAGAGACGTCAATTAGCATGTGAATTATTTATTTAACAATTGGGATCTTATTAATTTCTGTAAGACTGAACTTCAGAAAAAAGTCTTTAGTGCTAATCGCCGTTTCTAAGTCGACCATTTAATGCATGTTAAAATTGGCTTCCTACTCGCTTGGAGATACAGCATACAATATCTTCAATTTCTAAACCTTTAATTATTCTAAGAAAAACAAAAGGAGGCATGTAAAGATGAATGAACGAATGGATGATTGGGTTGTATGATGCTTCATAAGGAATGTAGATCGTGACATTGTAATACACATGAATTCTTAAACAGTCGAGTGTTATATCGCATTGGACCGTAAACGAATATTAAGTTTCAGGTTTGCTTACGTCTATAAATTGATTTCGAAATTTCTTCTTTCTAAATGTACATTGCTCAAAATAGTTAACTCCCACATAAGTGTACAAGATGTTATGTGGCGTGAAATTTGAATATTCAACTTAAACACTTCAACCTTTCGTAACAGAGGTTTTATTGATATTGAAAGTTAAAAGGTTAAAGTTTACTCAAGTTTTAATAAATATACAGAGGAATCAATATATCTAATCTTTAAATTCTGTTTGCCTCAGCAAAATATTCATTAATAGCAAAACAAAAACTAAATAGTTGACAAAAATTAAGACTAATATTAATTTAAATTGTACAAAAGTACGTAAACTATAAACTCCGACAAGTTATTAAGATCAATTACGAACTGAAATATTAAATCTGTATATTACACAAAAAGTAGGTACCAATAACAAAGAGATTGGCAAATATAGTATCACAATTTAGTCATATTGCTTACTATAAATTTGAGGTAATTTAGCCATCCAAAATCTCCATGTTTGTGCTGTGCTGTAAATAATGAGCAGAAAAAAAAATTATTGCCATTGTTAATTTTGACATAAAAGGAAACAATGGTTTCCTCTGCATTAAAAAATTAGCCCGAAATTTAGATATAGTTTAAAACAAAAATGTTTTGATGGATAAGGAATAGTAAACCCAATTTATTACTAAAATTACCAAAATAATTTCAAATTTGACTATTAGCTACAGCACACCACTATGCTTAAGATCCATCATACACAATAGAAATTATTTTATTACAAGCCCACACTACACTTTATTGTATAAAATCAGTCTATTTTTACTGCTAGCAAATGTCGATCCAAATATGTACATCAATATATTATCGCCAAGATTCTAATTGCGTTTTATTAAGGTATGATTATTTACATTGTTACAGATATGTGTTCTGACTAAATATTTAACATTGGATCATGCCACCCTTCCATCAATATATTATACAATTTTCCCACATTCAAAACTAGCAATAAAGTTACTTTTTACTAATACGTTTTTTTAAAAAAGGGGCATACAACATCTGACTATAGAATCAATTTAGAGCATCACAATAGATGCAAATAGAATAAAAATATAAACTTGTGTAAGATAATTTGCAAAATTTGCGTTGCTTAGGTCTATAATTAAATTGCATTTTTGACAAACATCAATATTTAAATATTTAGCAAATTTAATAGAGTAACGAGGTTTGTTTATTGCTGTGGTACTTTATGATAGATCACAATTATTGGTTAGTAAATGTAGCAGCATAATTTTCATTATTTGTCATAAACATTTTGTCACAGTCAACATAACTGATTATTAAACTACAAAATTGATTAATAAAGAATTCAAATAATGGAATAACCTTTAACGTTATACAAAAGTAGTTTTTGTATAATTTTAAAGGACAACAACATCAAGGATGGCATGTTCATTTCTTTGCTAGTATGCCAGCCTTATATATCTTTTCTGCAAGATGTTGCGTTATATTAAAATAGCATTTGTGCTTTCAAATCACAAGACATGAATTTGGCTTAAGGAATATTTTACATCAGTGAAACTATTTTGCACTCTACAAATAATGGCATTCAATTGTGGTTAATTAATAAATAAATAAATTTATACAGCTATTACCATTATTGAAAATCTGCAAACATAAATGATACCTACACAGTGGTCAAAAAGTTATGCAAGAGTGACACTTTATCATTATTCACAAATTACAAATATCTTGTAATCCAGAGTCCATTTAGAGAAATAAGAAAAAAGCTGTTTTGTATTAATATTACAGCAGTTTTGATATTTAACTTATGCACATAACCCCTAGACTACACTAATATCTCTAAGAATAATATACAATATAAGAAACTATTTTGTCCATGGACTTAAAATTGAGACAAATTCACTTTTATTATAAAAGAGATTTATGTTTCATTTTGATAAATAATATCTTTAACCTAGTAACGATTTTCACCTAGCAAGTCCATGGATCGTATATCAAATGATATTTTGAAGTAAGACAATTTGATATATTTCATTTTTAAAGTAGACATAGAAGTGTCCTATCGTGATAGTATTTTATGGTTTAAGTTTCTAGACGGTCGAGAAATAACAAATCTAATGACAAATATGTTTTTACATTACAATTTCATTTAGAATTCATTAAATAGTAATCAACGGGATAAAAGATTTCTGATTTTCAATCTATATAATGAGACTAGTGTAACATAGCAATATATTTAATATCGCATTCATTAAAGAAATGAAATTATAGCAAAACCGTATAACAAACGGGAGCGAGAAAGAGCTTCTCAGCTCCCTTACATCAAAACAACAAAATCCATTTAGCAAATGAATACAAACAAAACTTGTTACAAATAGCTGCGATTTGTTTTCGTATCACAGTGATATAGCGTTTTCTCTCTTTTTTTTCTTTTTGTACAAAAATAAAAACTTGTTACATTGCCGCATTCACAATATTCACAATAATATTAGTCCAATAATCGGAATCATCGTAACAGAAGTTAAACCTACATACTTGGTAACAAAAAATATCACTACATTTCGCGTGTCCCCATAACAGGTTAATAAAATAAATGCTCCATTCTGATATTAATCGAATATAAACTAAGAGGTAGGTCGGGAGGCGCTCAGGAGAGCGAAGAGCGAGCGAGGCGGAGCACAAATAGTCCCAGGTTCTCTAGAATTTTCGACGTCGCAACGCCAGGTCCTTGCGGGATAACCTTGAAAATGCAGTCATTTTGCTGTTACTATTTTCACATAGTTCTCACACAACTGTTTCATTTCCTTGCACTCTGTTATTAATCGTGAGTAAAGGGGGGGATGGGATAATTAGTAAAACATTAGTACCGGAAGGAGTTTTCGTAACACGTTGGCATATTATAGGCATGATCCCAAACCTTTGCTAGGCGTTTACAGCTTGATGTGGTCTGCTGTGCCGATATTGGCTAGAGTCTTCTTGATACGCAGCGCGGTGAGCCGTGCCGCCGGGTTCTGGTACCAGCATTCTTTCATCACCTTTGATATCGCGGAAAGCACCTGTAAAAAAATTAAAATGAAAGTTGCATTGAAGTGTCATACTATTAAAGCCTCATTACTGGCTCTAGTCTTATTTTTTATTGACATTGACATAATTAACATCAGGTATTTAGCTAGGCTACGTAAGACAATGTTAAAGAAGAATGTCAAGTTAGCAGAGACCGCAAAAAAATAGGCCCGAGTGTACTTAGAACCGGTAGTAATAATTGATGATTTTAGAAATGAAAATCACGGGAAACGTGCTTTAAGATTGTACGGGACAAGTGTCCCTTGACTGCTTGGGACACACGCGCTGAGACTGTTTGGGACACGTGCGCAGGTAATTCGGTGGGACACCCACGCTGAGACTGCTCATGACACGCGCGCTGAAATTGCTTGGGACACGTGTGCCGTTACTTCGGTGGAACACGCGAGCTGAAACTGCTCGGGACACGCGCGGCGAGACTGTTGCGGTTGTGGTGTGAATGCACGTTACTCGTGACACGCGCTGAAACTGCTTGGGACACGTGCGCTGGAACCGCTCATGACACGCACGCTGAGACTGCTTAGGACACGTGCGCCGCTACTTCGGTGGAACACGCGAGCTGAGACTGCTCGGGACACGCCCGGCGAGACTGTTGCGGTTGTGGTGTGAGTGCACGTTACTCGTGACACGCGCTGAAACTGCTTGGGACACGTGCGCTGGAACCGCTCATGACACGCACGCTGAGTCTGCTTGGGACACGTGCGCCGCTACTTCGGTGGAACACGCGAGCTGAGACTGCTCGGGACACGCGCGGCGAGACTGTTGCGGTTGTGGTGTGAGTGCACGTTACTCGTGACACGCGCTGAAACTGCTTGGGACACGTGCGCTGAAACCGCTCATGACACGCACGCTGAGACTACTTGGGACACGTGCGCCGCTACTTCGATGGAACACGCGAGCTGAGACTGCTCGGGACACGCGCGGCGAGACTGTTGTGGTTGTGGTGTGAGTGCACGAGGTTACTCGTGAGGTAGGGCTCCCCTCACCGGGTCCGAGTGCCACCTGTTGGGCACGTTGGGACGCCGCCTCTCGGTGCACACGACGCGGCGCATGTCCTCGAGGGCGGGGTCCGGCGGCACGCAGTCGTAGTACGGCGGCTGGTACTCGTCGGGCATCGCGCCGCACCGCCTGGCCATCTCCCACAGCACCAGCCCGAACGAGTACACGTCCGACCGCTTGTACGGGTCGAACTGGCGCGAGTCCATGCTCTCGTCCAGCACCTGCAGATTCCGATGCGGGCCGATCAGACCTACAATCGCGCCAGAACTAGGTGGCAGTTTGAATGTCACTCGTGACCGTTTTAAAATAAGTGAATGTAAATGCATTGGTTGCAATTTCAAAATTTTAATATAATATAATAAAAGTATAAAGTAATGTACGATAGGGTAAACTGGACAGCTGTCTCAGGGTTCGTTATGAGATCGAACCCGGAACTGGAAAGAAATTTATGTAAGCTACAAATTGTTGCTCCGAGCTTGGGTGTAATTTGTTCTGAGTGAAATCATATTTGTGTAAAGTGATGTTATCAATATACATTATCTTATGACATGGAATCATAACTTAGCGCGCGAGACGTTAAAAATAGTAAATAAAATAAAGTTACAGTTTTATAACGTTTAACAACAAAATTGCACCCAATTTGATCCTATAGATATACCAATGTAAAAAACGTATATACCCTTTAAGGTGATCTCTATTAGCTACTACAGCTATGATTCATTTCTTTACTTTATTTTAATACAAACAAATGTAAGATACAATTTTATGATTGATTTAAAATTATAAGATATATTATCGTCCGTCTATATCTTTATCGATAGGTGAGAAATACGTATGGTATTTTTGTCTAATGAAAGAGGCTTATAAACGCGAAAACAAAACAGACAAAAAGATTATTGCGTGAAACCGATACATAGAATTGATTTCGCAGTCAAGTTACTTGTTATCACTTTTGCACTCATGATATGCGATTGAAATTGAATTTTATAGACGTACACTTCTTACTTTCAGGAACAGTATCATCAGAAATAATGTCTTTATCATTATTTCGTACAATTTAGGGTCACCGCCGAATACTAGAGAAAACAGTGTCTTTACATGTGAGTGTAGCAGATTTAGGCTCTAGGTTTCGTTGACGATTTAAACCAAGCTATCGGATTTTCAAATTATGTTCACCATATTTTTTTTCATTACTATAAAATTACAAATATGTTTGTTACGTTAAAAGATAATTATTTAATAAATTATACGTCTACTAATATTAAAGGTTGCCGAAAGAGATTAGTTTTTATAAAACAAAAATGGAGGAAATAATAAACAGATGATATTAGTAATTTTAAAATTGATACAAACATAAATAATAAAGCGCTAATTAACAATAATATAATACGAATTATTATTTATTAGAAATGGAATTGTGGCCAGTGCTTTACGTTACGTCACAGTTGAGATTATAATCAAAGACCGTAGCTCGGTTTAATTATTAGATGCGGAATAGATATCTGTCCTTACTCATTGGAAGGGGTCACAATCCATTGTATCATGTAATTAACACGGTCGGTACATTGATATAGTGATTGTGCTGTCAGTATTAACTGCGAGATGCCTGCCTGCTTTGAATAGATTCTAGGGCTTAGGCGAATATTTTGTTTGGCTCATATCGCATGAACGAAAATCTACGTTCAGAATACTGCGTGTAATTGAACTCTGGATGACACAGGAAGCACATTATCCAACATGCCTCAATGTTGTAACTCAATGGCAGAAACCAGATTATAAAGCACTTTTCTACCTTCACTTCTTATGGGCTTGCTGAGAAATTGCCTATTTAGCTAGAGACTATTGGGGAACGAAATGCAAATTATGCATTTCGTTCCCCAATAGTCGTAAGGATTGGAGCACCAAGCTCAGTTTACAGAGCATGCTCCAATGATACCAAACTTTAAGCACTGATACCTTATAAGGCTACATGCTCTTCTGTAACATTTTTTTGCACCGACGTTGACGAGTGTCGGAAAGACCTGAAGTTACCAATTCAAGATTGTGCTGAAATCTCGGATTGGCGGCCGTTATATGAATATATGTTTATCCCAATTTTCCCATTAGTGTAAGAGGCATGTTTGCCTATCTATCTTCAAAATAATGTTTTCGAATTCAATGTGATGCAATTCATAAGTAAAACTTGATCGGACCCAGTCTCCAGAAAGAGTTAGGTAAAAAAATGTAAAGGCAACGTATTCAATAATAGTGCGAAATTAATTGATAATGTTGAATCCAATACACAAGTGCGAGAGAGAACGGAAATGCCCTAGTTATATTCGACGCTATGTCAGACTGACAACAAAGCGAGTGGGGTCAAGTTAAAAATACCTGGAATCGATAAGCATACACGCGCCAATAATATACAAATCGTGCCGGCCACGTTCAGTATTGAGAAACAAGAATCCCCTCAAGTTGAAACTTTCGCAAGGGTCGTTGTTCGCATGGAGAATAAATAACAATATAAATTGTGAAATGCTTTCCTCGAGAAGTTGGCCATTGGGGCGTTTCCCGACGCAAAGAGGATTTGATTCCTTTACGAGAAAAATAATTGGTAGTGATGAACATTTTTAAAAGATTTACAATCCCCGTTTGGTAGGTATAAATGCCGCTCATATGGCGCGCACACTTCATTAATGGGAACAATTGCCTATCGCCCCCGCGTTAACTTGAGCAGTTTAAACCCGGCGACGTCGAGTCAATCAATCAATAAAGATGCCTTTCTTAATATCGTTATGATATTTCCATATCAAGTGGACTTTGGAGTGCGCAATGCGAAGCCAGACGACAGGCCAAGATGAATTTATAAAGCCCTGTTAGGCGTTTTATGTATCTTATAATTTAAACGAGCAATTCTTGTATATATATATATATATATATATATATATATATATATAATTGGAATCTCGGAAACGGCTCCAGCGATTTTCATGAAATTTAGTGTGTGTGTGTAGATTCAGGGGCGAAAAATCGATCTGACTAGGTTTCATTTTTAGAAAATGTCGTTTTATCCCAGTTTTCAGGGAATTAAAAATATTATTCGAATACGACGGTAAATTTCACCGAAAAAAAAAAAGTTATAATAGCTTGCTCGGTAATCGGGCGGCCCCAAAACAGACGAAACAGAAGCGTGGTTCGTATCACGATCATTTACACACTTATTTTTACCTTTTTTTCGATTCCAGATCATTGCTTTCTTTATCTTTTATTTTTTGTCGATTTGTTATTTTGTTATTTTTTTCCCTTTTTTTAAGTTCTTTCTTTTGTGAAAAACACCAGTTCATATTTTCTTATTATTACGTCGGTAAGATCGAAAAATATTATGCATATTTCATTACTTAGTAATTTGTATCTAAATGTAATTTCCAAAAGACACGATTTACCAAAATAAAACAAACCGAGCAAAGCTCGGTCCTGTATATATGTGTGTGAGAGTATGTTACATATTATTAAAAGCGTATATTACCTCGGGTGCCATATAGCGCTTCGTACCAACCCTATTCGTCGATGGCACGTCCACTGAGTCGCTGGCGACGTTGTGCCTCACCGCCAGCCCTAGGTCGCCGATGACGCATGTCAGGTTGCTCTTCACCAGGATGTTCTTCGACTTTAGATCTCTATGCGCTATAGCCGGCTTACCTGACGTCACAACGATTCAGTTACACCTAATTGTACTATTGCTAAATGTCAAGTATGAATTATCAGTCAATTGTATTATTAAACCAAACAAGCATTTACCCCACACCAGCAATCTAATGTGACAATCCACTTTCAGCGGATTTAGTTTCAATAATCCATATAGCAGGCGTTTAGTGCAACGAAACATTTCTAGTGCAAAGCTAGTAAACCGAAACAAAACAAACGACACGTATAATGAATGGTAAGGAAATCACCTTTGGTGCCGACAATATCCATATGCAAATGGGCCAAGCCCGTTGCAATCGAGAGTGCCATCTTAACCAGGGTGTTGGAGTCTATGGTTCTGACCGTAAGGAAATCGAAAAGCGAACCGTTCTCGTGATAATCCGTTATGAGCCACAGTTGAGTCCATGTTCCGTTATCTGTAAGCAACGTTATGAATAAGGTATATGCCATTGAGGAAGTAAACGGGTAATTTTGAGTAGCAGTCCGACCACTGCAGTCTTTAAGGAGGGTAGCCTGCCACCTGCCAAAACTTGACGGGCTTCTGAACCGTTTGGAGACGTGCAACTCGGAAATTGCGTGTACCCTATTGTATTACTATATGTATATGTTGTACGACGGCCACGGCTACCGTCTATATTACAATAACACCTTATTAGCTAAAAATAGTGACAATTGCTGTTAAACTTATGTACACCAGGTTTGATCACATCATTGCTCATTTATTACACGAAGACGGAACTAAGAATGTACTATATGAAGTGTTTCAAATTTAATAATAGGGAACTTTTATTGTATTTTTTCATTGGTGTAATTAATCGCATTGCATAATTTATCTCTTTATCTAAGGGTCGTGAAATTGGTATCCTAGAAATTGCAGTAAGAGCATTCTGTTTATATTGGCCGAAGCAGGCTACCAATTACAGTCAGCAGTTACCGTCCGAAACTATCAGTTACGTTGAACGTAATACCAAAACCATCGTTATCAAAATAACTTATAAAATTGTTATATATTTCTGTAATAATTCCCGTCTAGTAGGCTATCATAGCCGATTTATTTTTAAATGTGGCAGGTTTTTATTCCAGACGCAACGCATATTCTTATAATAGTCTTTTTCTTTGAAACTTGTCTCAAAAATTCTTATCTCTAGATTTCTTAATCATCGCAGTCAAGCCAAAGTGAAAATTTCTTTATTCAATAATTATATTGTACTTTTGTGAAGACAATTTAAAAACTCATTTGCAACTTTATAACTTTCTTTATAACATTGCCGTTTGTATTTAATGTAAAGTCCGCCTTCTTTTCATTGTTTTTGCCAGTTTACTTATTTATTAAATTTAAGTATTAATTTGAAAAATTTAAGTATTAATTATTAAGCCGTTGGTCCTGAGGAGCCCCCAAAGGTCTTCAGATTATGAAGGCGCTTGTGGACAAACCCATAAATAAATCATAAACAAGGCCGATTTTCATGAAATTTTATATGTATATTTGGTAGGTTTGAGAATCAGGCGTAATCTATTTTTCATATCCCTAAGTGACAAGGGTGGTCCATGTCAACTTTTATGATTATAATTTTAAGCACAAACTAATTATAATTTTAAGCAACTTCGTTAAAAAAGATACCTAACTGACTATTACAGCATATTAAGTGCTTTCGTGCCATCATTTGACCGAACTCCTTGATAACGTCTGTGAAAACAATTTCTTATATACTTACATAAAAATAAGTGAATGAAAAGTAAAATTAAGTAGTAAAATTAAGCCAAGTTTTAAATTGGGGGCCTCATTGATGACCTTAGTCCACCTATGCTTAAGTAGTGTTTTAGCTAAAAAAAAATGAATATTTTTTTTTTCTTTTATAATATAAATCTATTCTATCCCTGCTCTAAAGTAAAGCGCACAACTCCCTAACTGTATCTTGTATTAACTGATGTTAACGCTTTCAGCCCCGGGACTGTTAAAGCTTCATAGAACGCAGAACCGGTGGGCTAGCCAGAACCCACGGGTTTAAGGCCCTCCACAGTGAGTAGGGCCGCGCATGTGCTCATGCGTGCGTTAGCTAAGGAGTGTCGCCTACGGGCTATCGAGGTTCGGTGTTGACCGTGACCCCGATAGCCGTTGACGCGTTATGTTGGTTTCGCCCGGAGGCGTTTGCTGTTGCACAGTGTGTGTAGTGTTATCTGGCGGGACTCCCGACGGCGAGTCCGACGTACTAAGCTCCCCCTCCACGACCTGGTCGATGAGGACGTTGCGCGGACGACGCTTAGTAACGTTCGCATTGATATCGGGTTGGTAATAACAAAAATAACTCCCTAACTGTGGTTACACCCGTCCTTAACTTACTTTGTCTATGTAAGGAATTAGGGTAGTCGTCAACCGACAATCTCCGATAATTAGGGCCTCAACTGCTGCGATGACACTAATTGTCCTCACTAAGGAACTTAGAAATGGCCCTAATTATTGTATAGTCTAATTGCTGCTTTAGTAACAGCCTATACATGTCCCCCCCACTGGGCAAAAATCATACATTTACCAAGGTATAAAAGAAGGTATGTTGGGAGAGCTTTAACCAACTTGAATTCATAATTGCAAAAGAGGTGACGGTACAGAATACGTTTCCAGCCTAAATGTATTCCATGTCGTCTTGTTTTGCAGTCATGAATATGAGCGCATATGACGGACCAGAGACTAAGGTCAAGGCTTGCATCCCATTCGAGATATGTTTGTTGATGCAGACGTGCCTGTTTACGCCGCCTTCTGCACATTAAGTGCGCAAAATGGAAATTTTCCGTTCCTACTGGTTTACATAAGGCTGTTGTTTTGTCGCAAGCCTGGTTGCAGGCAAAAAGGTCCTGGAAAATAACCTTGAACACTTTGTGCGCATTGGATTATGCGCGTTCGCAGTTGATACGACGCATAATTTATAGTCCTAGATTCATTCGAGTCTGTGGATGTCGATCTTTTGTTTTCGCAACTGATGAGAGCGCGGATATCCATCAAAATTCTAACCTTTGTTGTCCGCCGCGATGAAACCTAGAATGTTCTCGTGTCGCAACATGACCGTCTGGTATATCTCGGCCTCTCGGAACCACGAGCACTCCTCCCTCGAGGAGAATATCTTCACGGCCACATTTTCACCCCTCCACCGGCCGCGCCACACCTCACCGAAGCGGCCCTTGCCGATGATGTCCACTAATTGGATCTGCCTCGCGATTGATCGTTGCACCAGCAAGGGCAAGCCTTCGGGGGAAATTGTATTAATACTAACTGATGTTGAACACGGATCCATAACGTGTGAGACTTGTTTGATCATTTAGTTACCCCAATTTACAGATCTCTACGGCATTGCTTGGTTATCTTAAGTGGAAAATAGAGGACATTAAAAAGATACGTTTTTATCAAGGGCTTATTAGATTATGGAAGTACTCACCGGAGCCAGAGCCTGAGGTAGTGAGCTCGATCATATCACGTATGGTGGCAGTGATGGGGTGGCGTGTCTCGCACAGGGAGTCTTCAGTCGGGTAAAGCGGACGGGAGCCCCTCTCCTTAATTTTGCTGGAGCGCTTCGCCCACCAGAAGCTGATTGCAGCGCATACTCCCAGCACCATGAGCCCCATTATCCACGGCACCACATGCCATGCCGTCGCCGACGTGGTTGATTCTTCGATTCAGAACAACATAAGTAACAGCACCTTTCGCGAGGCGTTAACCAATCGAAAAGCATGACCAATCACCCATGACAGTTTCTTCAGAAATTATGCGCAGACACGTTCATATAATAACAATGCCTCCTCGCAGACAATTAGAAACGTTTTTCAAAAAAAGTGGACGAAGCCCAGAACATAACACTCGAAAATATGGTTAGTGAAGTTCCAAATTATTTTTATATTGTTATATCTTTTTTTTAATTATACCATAAATGGAGCTATTTTCATAAACGTTCTGAAATATAATACAGGACCCAGGCTAAATTTGGTTATATTTTTCCTAATCGTGGGCCGACATATAAAATACACAGGTGAGAGATAATCGGGTCCATATTTTATTCGGCGGAGTCTGTGTTATTTCTTATTGACACAGTCTCCATATTCAGTTGGAATACACGATATGAAAACGTTTTGGCCCTTGGGCAGAGGTGTAAGTGTTGTGTAAAAGAATGACGTCACATTTATTGGTAACAACAAATAATTCATATACAACATTGTAATCGAAATCATTTTACATAAAATATTCAAACATGCCTCGATGAACATACACAAGCGGATACATGAAACAATGTTCTGAATTATGTTCTGATCTTTAAGATGAGATGATTTTTGAAAAATTGTGCTTCGAACCCGATTTATCTGGAGCATTATTTTTGTCATTAGAAAAACCTAAATACCCGCATAGATACGAAATCAATTCAGTAGCACTTGATCTGTTTGACAATATGATCTATCTATCATGCTGAATTTTTTAATTAGACTGTATTCACTAATGGTCTGCTTTTGCTAGAATCCTCACAAATTAAACGGTAATGTAAACACAGTGGATTAGAAATTAAAGCAAGATCGAAAAAAATAAATGAAAGGCAATATGTTGACTACATGCAATTAGTATTAACAGAAAAAAGCCATTACATTATAAAGGTAGGGTACCGGCTTATGATCACGAAAATATTTATTTTCTTCTTCTATCTTTCAAATACGTTCGTTTCCAGTAATTTGACTTAACTTTACTAATAGCTCTCTCATACCACTAAGTTATTAGTAATTATGACATGACGTAAACAAAAAGGATCGGCTAGAAATAAAAAAAATTATATAATACAACAATTTCATTAACCGATATTTTAAATTTGTAGTAAGTTTTAAAGAATACTACTGAGACAAATAACTCGACATAATATAATAAATGTTCCCGATAGTTTCATTCCCATGCAGTTTCTTATTTTAGTACGGTCATCGTAAACTGTTCTATGATGTTAAAATCCCGGTTATGAATTCGTGAGATTTTGTAAACATTGCGGAACTCGACATGATGCTTACGCGGACATCACATGACAAAGCTACCCAAATTGGCGCCCTGACGGTGACACATTCCCAACGTGTTCCGTACCTGGAAAGATGTCAACATTACAGAAGTCCGTGGCGCAGCAAAACATATCGGCGCTTTCGGCTTCGCGACACCAAATAGGCCTGTCCCCGGGAGGGAATATCGTTTCTTGGGGCCAACATCTACATCACAAATTACATTGTTAGACAGCCGAATAAACGCGTCGTACGATTTACGGTGATCAATGCCGGTCTAAAGGGAAAATAAAACTTAGTAATATTAGAACAAGAACGGAAAACTGAAATCATATATAGCCATGCAGTCTTGCGCCAAATACCAAGCTCTAGCCGAGCCGTCGTCGGGTGGGGTGCTACTGGGGAACTGGTAGTATGGGGCACCGGTGGCAGCAAGCTAGGGTGCAGAAGTTAGCGGCACATCGTGGGCACTATCTCCACGTCGCTCCTACCTGGCGGCTTCGTATGTAACTCCAGGCGTAGGTCGTGATTGCACATGTCACGTGACTTACAACACTCTATCACCACCGACTCATTTCTAGTTCTCGTCGTGGAGCAACTGAAGGGATGCTCGATGGGTATCAGTGATTTCAACTCGATGCAGCTGCGCCGCAAGTGGAATCACCAGACATTACGTTTTAGTAGGTTAAAGCAAAACCAAGGCACACTCGGGAAATAGATTTTGTTAAGATTACGGCACATCATTCAAAACATACTAAGAAATTAACCACCGACCAGTCAGGTCGAAAATCAATTTTTTTTACTTAGTAGGTACATATTCAAATCACTAGATCAAAAGCGATATTGTTAGAATATTGGCATCTCAACACAAAACTTATGGGTAATAAATGGCAATGCAATTATGTTCTAATAGTACATCAAACAAACTCAAAATTTGCATCGTCAAGTAGGTATTGCACACCCACAAGTGCAGAACATCTTACCATTGGTTGAGGCATGTACCACTCTGTATAATATTTCTCGGGCAATCTCATCTGAATTGCAGTTATCTTTAAAACAGCAATAATATCCTTGCATGGTGCATATGATTGGATTGCCTTCTAATGGGAAGGCTTGGCTCATGTTCATACAGCTTAAGACCAGCTCTCTACACAGGTCAATGATTTGGTAAAATTCATTAAATTGTTACGATAGGTAAAATACAATAAGCCTTTATATATTACAGTAGATTTGTGTTGAATGTTTGCCAATTACACATACAAATACAAAATTAAAGTATATACTACTAAATGTTAAAAAAATAAATATGTACCTATGTAATACCTGTAACTGCAGTAATCCAATACAACATTACAATTTTAAATTTTCTTTTCTTTTAAATATATATATATATATATATACATCTTAACACAAATACATTTAGAGAATGTAGAATGGATTTTGAATTTTTTTTTTAAATAAGGATATATACTATCTATACTCACTGGTAGGAATATTTTTGTTTCCCATTCTCAAGTGTGGTAGATGCATAACAGAATCCATCAGTTTCACAAGTTGAATTAGGACAGCTTGGACTATCACTGTTGCAGTAACACTTCAACCCTAAAATTATTTATATATATTGATTTAATAAGTTCTCCTATAAACATAGTGACATTTGATTAAATATGACATTTCTTTATTAATTATGATTTATAAATGTATGATTTTTGTGCATTATTTTTTGTGGCGTTTGAGCGGAAGGCCTATGTTCAACAGTGGATGTCTTACAGCTGATAATAATGATATATGATCTTTATTGGTAATTGGCTAAAAATTGGCTGTTTGTAAATAATTACCTATATTCGCGCTTTTCATTTACGATTTATAAAAAAAATTAAATTTCTAAATTTATAATAAAAATTATAAAATTAAACTATGTTTTGTTAATAATAATATTCTAATCAAACTCATGTAATATTGTATTCTGTGAATAAGATAAATAAGGAGAATGAATGTTCATAACCAATAATTAGTAAAATGAATTGAGTTGAAGCTGTTTTCAGAAAAAAAATGTAATCAAATTCAGCTTTGATTGTTTGAATAACTGGACCAATTTACTATCACTATAGTGTAGTAATGTTATTTAGAATATTTTAAGCCTCGCCCAAGTTAAGAATATTTCATTGTCTATAATTTCTTTCGCGGTATTACGTGTACAACACGTATTTTTAACAATTGTTGCAGATTAGATCTCAGCAAAAAAAAAAATACTTTTTACTGTCCACAAGTATTTAGGTATTATTGGAACACGAACAACCCCTGGCAACATAATTAATTCTCCACATGTGAGAGTTGCAGTATTTAAATATACTTATATTCTACTTATACTCATTAATGCATAATCAAACTTACAACTACTATTGTCGTACTTACCGTTGACGATGTCAAACTTCAAATACACGACACTTATTAACAGAATAAACCATTTTTGTCGGCGAAAAGTATCCATAGTCACATTATTAAACACAACCATCGCAGTTTAAAGTTCGGACAGAACCAAACACTTGTTATTGACACTCAAATAGCACGGCCATTGATGTGTTCTACGAGAAACAAATGACATTTTTGTATAACACTGTATATTATTTCAAGCGAAGTTGGAACTGGATACCAAAATTATGATAAGAGTCTTAAACTTTACACAATAGAAAATCAAAAAATTATTGTTACGTGCTTTCTTGTAATGCATTGAAAATAAGTTCCCTCCGGTACTAACTTCGCGTGAGGGACTACGTCACAGATAAAAAATATGTTGCCAATTAACAGATGAATCGTTAAGTAGCGAGTTCCAATACGAAAACCCTTTTAATATCTAGTATTGTGAAGCATAATTGTTACTTTGTTTCAAGCTTTGTTAATTATTTTAAATTTAATAATAATTACATACTGGAAAAATCTTAATTGATTGAGGTATAATAATATTCCATTAGTATAAAATAAAAAAGCTTAGTTATTTTTTAGAATAATGCTTTAGACTAATAAAGAATTTAATTAAATATTATTAAATACTATTGAATTGCAGCTAAGCTTATCATCAAACGATGTGAAATAGTCCTACTTCCTTAAAGACTTATGGCTTTATGTAGGGCATATATGTGGTAGGCCTGCTCTTTAAGTTAGTGTTAAATTATAAGTCAAAGTATACTTAAATATAATTATTAATAATTCTATTTTATATCTGAAAATTACCTTACATTTATAATACTCAAGATTAACTTTCACTGAAGCAGGTTATTAATAGAGGGAGGCTTTTCTAAGTGTATCCATTTTTTTATTAAATTCTAGACAAATAATGTTATAAAAATGATAAATATTTAAAATATCAAAAAAAAAGTGAAAGAAAGTGCGTGATTTATGGGCAGCTTATTTATTTACACAAGTTTGTTTCAAAAGTGTACGACGCATTTATGAATGACTACCGCTTTGTCAACAAGTTGTTTTTAGGGAAAAGAATGGAACTTTTTTTTTGAAAAAGTTTTTTTTCAATAACGTTTATTAAAAAAAATATGCTACCGAGTCTGAACCTCCTGTGTAAATTTGGGCACCTTTCTATAAGCCAGCCTGTAGGTGCAAAACGAAATGGATAATTGCATATCGTTTTATGTTAAATTATGTCTTTAACATGAACCCCATATTTGAATACATTAAAACCATTTCTTATCTTTATTTATTTATACATATTTCTATGTCTATGATTACATAATTCTAGTTTTTCGTTATACGAAGGGAAGAGGAAAAATAAACCAAATTTAACCAGTTACATTACGAACGTCCCGAAGGCGTGGGTTCGATTCCCACAGCGGTGACAATCTTTTCGTACTTTTTCTACAAGTTTTAACAATTACAACAATTTATAATTTAATTACTATCAATAGATAAATATAAATAATTCTAAACTGTTAACTTTAACTGACGTGTTTTACTATGCCAATATTTGTTTTGTATTTTTTAAATATGTTTTTGGATGTGGCCAAAATTATCACGACTGTTTATGACTTCAGGTAAAATAGGAGCTATTAGAAATTTCGGCACCTCAAAATATTAGTTTTGTAAGCTGATTATAAAAACAATTACACTTTTAAATATGTCGTTGATATAAAATATGAAAATATTCGTACGTAATAGGAATGGCTGTTGCAGTATAAAGAGTGAATTACTATTTGTGTTAAACCAACCAAATTGAACTAATTTAACACCCATTCTCTTCAATTTCAGTCTAAAGTAGCTTGGAAAATTATAGTCTAAATAACATAGTGACGATTATAGTAGGAAAAATAAGAATAATACCGCGATTTCGCAATAAAGCTTTGTTATTAGAACCTCTAAAATCAATAATAAAGCAAAAACATACACAGAAAACTTGTAAATATACATTGTAATGTTTTGAAAATATACATTTAAAACATATACTACTTGTATGTTTATATTAATAATAAAGTAACTAATACGTGACACTTACAAATTATAAAGAAACTGTTACAAGTGAACATGGATATAACAAAAGCTTACAAAAAACAACACCATCAGTAACAATTTTCATAACAATAATAGCAGTTATATATTGCGCGATTTTCATAATTTAAGCTATAGATTTAAATACCTAGCTAAAATACATTTTTATATAACTTAATAAGACATATTTTCTTACAGATTTCTTATAAGAAAGATGTTTGTGCATAGATATTTACGACTGATAATTTATGATTTATTATTCTACCATGTAATTAAAAACAAAACTTGGTTGTAAGGTAACGGAATACAGATAAATTCAATAGCTTATAATTGTTTTTTGAATTAATTAGCTCATTGCGGCAATAACTATTCAAATGAAAATTCTGTGCAAAATATCAGAAAATGTTTAATATATAACATAAATATTTATCACCATAAGATCGAATATTTATTCTTGATAAAGAATTTTAATGACCAGCGCCTTGAACGTAAACGCTTTAAAAATTTCATTATGCTATGAAAAACTGTGTATTCATTCTTAATACTACAACTTACCCTAGTGATGTTGTTAAAAAGGTCGCAATTTTCATTAATTCACTCGGAGTAGAAAAAATAAGAGACGTAATTTTAATAGGGCACAGGCAAGCGATGTTGCCTCGATGCCAGTAAAAATTACAATGAGAATTTCACATTTGAGGCAAATATAAGAGAATATACAAATAACAGCAGAATGTATGGCAGACAATTTCAATTATCCGCAATCATGCCGATATCGAAGGCAGGCATTTCAATACGTAATTTGTTTGATTTACGATAATTATGGATTTCTGTTTTTGGCTTAACATTTGGTTGGTGGTAATATTTGATATACAGAGATGTGGGGAAGATTTTAACTTACACGTGCTTGTAAAAATATCAATATGATTTCATTTGTATACCTTAGATTGCATAATTTTAGTCAGCGGTGAATATTTGATCCTATATATCTTCTTTCTCCATCCCTTAGGTGAGGTCGGCACAACACGTGAAATTATATAATGCTTGTTCTTTTTTCATGACGGGCCACCTGCCTGACGTCATCCATCCTTGGGAATAAACACTCAAAACCGGAACAAATATCTATAGGTAATACGAACCCACGACCCTCGGTAACGAAGCAAAAAGCTTACCAACTGTGCCACCGAATCATCTAATGTGTTTTTATTTGTATGTAACATCATAAAGTTGTATCCAAATAAATAATATTGTACAACCAAGGTCATACACTTTATTACTTGGGAACCGTAGCCACTATTTTATCTTCCATAAATTAAGACGAATCACATATCTTTAAAAAAGAACAATCATCCAGGCTAAGGGAGCCGTATTGACAATGAAAGCTTTTCTACACACGCGGTAACATTGTACAAAAACGTTTCCAAGAACGTCTTAATTGGTCTCCTCGTGTTATTATATTTGGAAGAAATATTGAAATAAGGAAAAATTATGTATTCAGTTATAATACTTTGGGTCGTTATATAAAAGAATTAAGACGAAGAATAAGAGCAAAATATTTTGTTCTTTACATACTTATTATTTATAATAATTATTTTATTAAAAGTTATGCGAGGGTATATTTTAATAATTTAATTAATTACAAATTATGAAAAAAATATGTTGAGTAATAAACAAGATTGTTACATTTAACGGATACAAATGATATTCGCATTGCTAGACGAAATAAATTACTTCGCAAGGCATATAAAACAATATAATAGGAATAACTGTCTGATTCAGTTTCAAAGATTGAAGATTCATTTGCAATTACAACTGTATACACAAATTTTCATTCATTTATATCCAGTCAATATTTTAATAGTTTATGTATGTATAACACTTCAAATGCCGTAATGCAAACGTTAACAATATAAACGTTAATAACGTTTATATTGTTAACGTTTGTATTTATAAATGTAAGAATGCACAATGAATAAAGAAACTTAATTAAAACAATTACTCTAAGAAAACCCTAAATAATTTTTTTGCATATGTATCGATACGTCGATTGGCACAAGATATAGATATAGATATAGCTTTAAAGAAAATTGCACACATAGAATACCGATTCCTTCAAATAATACGAAGAAAAACTTCAAATAGATTTTACTTGTACAGATAACTAAAAATAAGATTCGATTAGTCAGTCATCAGGGTATATATAGGCTGCTAATTAAATATTGATTTCATTATTTAACTATTATAAACGCTTTCAAAATCGTAAAATTGATATAAGATGTGTAATTAGAATATACATGTTACCCTGTAAGGAACTTGAAGAATTAAAGTTAATACAGTTGAAACTAGTGTTGGCTTATTTTGACCCAAATTGACTAAGAACGTACGATCAAGCTCATCCAAAAGTTTTTATATGAGCGTTACGTGGACAAGGAGAGAGGAGAGTTCCAGTTCTTCGGAAAAACCGTTGGTGAGTGTGACACTGCGATATCCAGGGCGGATGCACTTAAGAGGGTATGTGGCCTGGCCTATGAAGTTCGGGTCGCCGAATATATCCTCGTCTTGGACCAGGAACCGTATCAGCGCTAGGTCAGGATTCGCCACTTCGAACTCGCAGATGTCGTTCCATATAGGATTGATGCCGTTATCAGCTGGAAACGCAAATATTCATGAAGAAAAGGAAGCAACTGTTTGTCTCAAACGCGATAGCACGCCTCATACTGCGAGGCGGTATGAGGCGTGCTCCTCTCGACACGGCAGAGTCAAGCACTTTTTGTTCTCAATCTGCCTCCACCGCAACCAATTGGTTAATATTTAAATAGTCTATCTTATTTTCTATACAAGACAATTTTATTTTGGTGTATAAAAAATGTTTGAAAAAATTTTACGTGGACGTCTGAACTTTTTCAGGACTTGACTTTTTTCTTAAACATTAAATGAGTGGTATGAGGCGTGAACTTTTGGCATTTCCAAACATTTTAAATTTTTTTTTCACAAGTTCTATATTAAATACATAGAACTTGTGAAATCCTGATCAGCAAATACTGTTAGACAATTTCGTAAAAAATTTCGCACACAGAAAATGAGCCTATTGTGAATAGCATTAGTTTTTTGCTTATTTTTAGAAAAATATCGCAAAACGAAAAAGAAACTCACTGACTGTCTTCGTGACCAGCTTCACTCCTGTGTCGTAATCCGCACCTATTATTTCGACCTCGACGAAAGGGCTGGCAGTTCCCCTTCCTGATTTGCATAGGTGCCTCGCACCGATCACACGGAGCATGACCGTCACCGGCCGCACCCTCTTCTCCACGCTCTTCTTATCTTGAGGGTTGTAACCCTCCTCGAACATGAAGTCCGGCTTCAGGACGAAACCGCAGCCGCCGTTCTGTTTGAACTTGCCCATGTTTAACTGCATCGGCTTGTCTGGCGTTTGGTAGTTGAGCGCGACCATCTGGGAGCCGGCATTCCAGAACGGCATCGGATTGTAGTTCGACGAATCGATCCGCTGGCCCTTGGGATATATGCGGCTCAACTGCACCGTGTGGTACTTGAGGAAGAATGACTGTGATGTCTCTTGCTGGCACATGAGGCGCTCAGCCTTCGTCTCCGGGAATGAGGACATTTCGTTGTGAATGAACCCTTTGCTCTTCAGTCTGTCGGGGTTGAAGGCAACCGACCGGCAGTAGACGATGAGATCGGACATTTCCTTGGCAATCCTCCACGTGCGCTCCATCTTCCTGTGTTGGAGGGACCTGGCGCTGGCGCAATGAGCTGCTTCCTTAATAGCAGATAGCCATTCCAGCGCGATCTCCCGTGTGGGCGCCGCCATATCGAAGGGCGCGCACATTGAGGGACTTTGAATCCGGACCAGCCAACGGGCCGAGCCGCTTTCCTCGCCGACGACAAGCTCCACGACGGCGCCTAAAACATCAACGACTCCTTTTTGCAGGGAACCCAGGGCAGCGTTTTCGTTGTCTAAACAGCCCTACAAATTGGAAACAAAACAATATAAAGAATGTTTCTTCCACCTAGAGTGAATCAATGTCTAATTAAATCAAACACTCACTGGGATATCAGGCATATGCGCCTCGATCTCCTGCACGTAGTTCGCGGGGAACCAGTGATGGCGTTTGCCGCCGTAGTCTCCGCGCCACCAGCCTTCGTCGGGCTTGTCAACGTTAGTGATAATTGCGTGTTTACAGAAAGACAACTCGTCCTCCTGCCTCGCGCGATAGTCGTACAGTGCCTTCACAGTCACCTACAGCAAAATGAGATTGATAAAAGACTTCTGATAAAAGATTTCATGAGATATCAATCTAAACAATTTAGATGACTTATGTACGAAACTGAAGAGAAATCAAATGTGACCTCAATAGAAAAATAACATGCTTGGTTATTGTTGTTTAATATAAATTTAGTTGAGATCGAATGGGATAATGGAATAATCATTAAATACTTAATTTGTGAAGGATCTCATCGAATGGTTCACGGCCGTTTTTTAAGTTGTGTGTGTAGTAAAAGAACCAAAAATAAAAAAAAAACAGGCGAGATTCATTTACTCTCTCAATTTCAATTCTAGTATTATTGTAGTGCGTTATTTTTTCAATATTAATAAAATTCAATATTATTGTTGGATTACAAAAGACGTTATAATACATTTACAGTTTTTTTTCAAAAAATTAAAATCTCGAAGGATTTTCTCATATAGCATTGCTACATAAAACTATTTTACGAATGGAATTTATGGCCGTCCTTTTATGCAGCGTTTCGAAACATCGGGAAATTAAAATAACAAAATAACCGAAATTAAACTAGATAAAATCAGTAAAATAGTTTTATTTTACGCCATAAATACAAGAACTCATTATTGAATAGCCATTTAATTAAAAAAATTCACTGTTTTAAAAGAAAATTCACCTTTTAAAATAAAACTAAGTTTTCTGATATTTTTTTTTATTTAGTTTTATTTAAGGCACTTAGATAAACACAACATTTAATAGTTTAAATAAACAAAGAACGAATTTACCATTTCTATGAATATTTTAAATCTATAATAACTAAACCTAATTTATAATAGAATGTAACACAAAGAAATCAATTATGTATAAATATTGAAAAATTATATTTATATTATAAAGTAAAATTTTCAATTATAATAATATAAATATATTTATTTGAAAAAACAAATTACCTTTGAAGTAAATGATGTGGGGTCCATATAACCAGGGGTTCCATACACTGAGCTGTCATCAGGTTCCTGAAGAAAAATTAGCATTGTTAATAAATAGAACCAAAATAAAAATAAAACCTTAATTCATAAAACAACTATTTTAAATGACATACTGTTATAATTCTTCTGATAATATCTTCGCTGATGGGATACCATAGTTTTACTTTTTTATACAATGGATGTTTCTCATAATAAGAAACCAACTCCACAAGACTCTCAAACTTGACAGTCCCTATGGTATACAACCTTCCTTCAAGCTTAATGCGGCAGTGCTTTATTTCTTTCTCGGTTCTACAAAAATTTTATGAAATCTTTATTCATCCTATTACACAATCACTGAAGTTTACTTATTCTTTTAAAAATCTTCTATCAAAAGTCAGCCTTTTATAATGTTTCAGGATTGATATGGTTCTTAACATTACCATAAGAACTAAGTGAATATGGAACAATAATAAGTGAAACTAATTCAGGTTGCAAAGACAAGATTTAAAAAGGCAAGAAATAAGCTCATTATGATGAAGTACGGTTCATAGGCATATAACTGACCGAAAACTTATTGCGAAGGAGTTCTGGTCCTTCTCACTAGGTCGAACAAGAAATGCCCCATCAATGTTTGCTTTTCGTAATAACTCTTCAGCCTGCGCTCTTGAACAATGTGGATGATACCAATCTTTACCTTCATGCTTGTTTGGTTGTGGCACAGGCTCCTTGAGCGTAATTAAAAACTCCTAAAATAAACAAATTAAAATTAGTAAAAAATATGTTCGATCCAATAATTATTATATAAAAATTAAAAAAAAAATTGTGCATAAAATTGATAAAAAAAAAATTGTAACGTCATATACCTGGCTTCGGAGTGGATGCTGTCTGTAATGCGTGATTAAACTATACAGACTATCAAAACACACAGTGTCTATAAGATAATATTTTGTGATTCCTCTCTCCTGCTTCAGTTTAATGCGACAATGATTAACTTTGCCTTGCCTCCAGAAAGATAGACAATAGTCACCAACAAATGTGACACTTTCCCTTACAAGAAATGTTCCATCACCAAGATGTGCATGTGCCCTTAGAAGATCTTCAGCTTCTTGTCTATTTCCAGCTAGTTTTCCATGAAACCAGCATTCCCCAAAATGTAGTTCATCCTGAGGAATACTAGTATTATCTCCTTCAGGCTCTCCGTCACTATCTATATCGGCTTCACTAGGTGTGCTATAGTTCTCAGTGTAATACAATTTATTTTCAGTTAGCACAAATGCATGGGGGTTCCATTCTTTATCAACTGGATCTTCTAAAAGTAGTATTCCATTTTTAATTGTATTTCTTAAATCTAAATCTTTTCCCTCTTCTTGGCGAAATGAAAACGAATTTTCTTCAGCCCCTTCAGGTAGTTTCTTGTGTTTGAGGATAATCTTGCGACGCAGGTCATATGGTGATGGCAAACTAGTTTCATTTTTTTCATTTGGTTGAACCAACAACATATCACCGAAGACATCTTGGAAGGCGTTCGCCATGCGTCTTTGTTGGGGTAGTGAGCAATTATCCTCAATTGACAAAATAAGAGGATAATCTGAAGTGATGAAAGCATGCTCCTTTATAGTACGCAAAACATCCATAAATCTAATTTTTGTGGTTAAAGTATGGCCATGGTAAATAAATGGCATTCCATCTGGACCATCCCAGCAATCCAATTCTATACATCTGCAGCCAGATCTTAAGCAACGCACATATGCTTCTAATGAAGACTCGCTCGAGAATTGATCTCCGGTTAAGTATCTAGTAAAAAACAGTAAATTTTCGTAATAAATCATTTAAAAAGTGTTAGTATTTATTTCATTCTAGTATTCATTTGTAAATTAAAAAAATAAAATTGTAAAACTTACGTATTGTGGGAGGAGGAAATCCAGTAATGTGATAAAGGCTTTTTCATGTCTTGCAATACTTGATTATGTTTACTGTCCCAAATTGTATTTTGCTTTGAAAACAACATTTCAATAAACTAAAATAAAGATTTTACTTTTAAAACTGTTGATAATAATTGTTAAAAATAATATAAGATTAAGATGTGTAAATAAAAATTGTAAAATACGTAATTTTACAATTTTAATTTACGTTACCTTATTACATACCTCATTCAATGTTAAATATGGTTCATAAATATCTCTCTGTGGATCTCGTAGATAATCCCTTATAAATTGTGATGACTTAGCTTCGTCCTCCCCTAGTTTATCGTGTTGTTCCAATAATAAAAATCTTTGAAACTCATGAAGAGTAATGGTAGTACCGTTTGCACAATAAAGTGAATACTTGTCAAATATGTCATGTACATTCTATAAAAAACATAATAACATTGGTTAAGTTGCTGGGAAATGTTAATTATTTGCCTCAAAATGTAGAAAGTATACATAGCTCTAATAATATTTAATTATAATTGTTTATTATCAACACACATCTCAACTCTACATTGAGTAATTTAAACAATAACCAAAACAATTATAAAAACTATAAGATATACTACATATTATCTCCTCTTTCCTCATCGGTTATATAAACAATTTGACCTGTTTCTTTGCATTATGGAGCAACCACAAGTATATACATACCAAAAGTATATAGTAACCACAAGTATAAATGATATACTTGTTTGATAAATTGCTTGCAATATTGCATATTTTCTTTTGGTATTTTTCAAAATATGTTCAAAAAAGTATAGTATTTATTGTATGACGTAAAGAAATCACAATGATATATTTGTTACTTAAAAAAATATATTGGCACAAAATAGTTTGATCCATCTTACTGAAATATAGCACTTTTCATGTTAGATATTTCTTCAACTGTGTTTAGTATACAGCATGTCTTTACCATCGCGACAATAAATGAACACACATATAGAGGACAACTTTTTAAAATTATATTAAACATTTAGTTTCTTTAAACATCAATATTTACAGTTATTAAATTTTAGAAAACAAAGAAATTTAGAACACCCTTACGTATAAAACTGTCACGTAAAGTTCATTTGTAAATGTCACAAAGCATATGAATGGGTTGAATGAATTTAAAAGAGACAAAACATACTGTTAGAAGGAGAGGCTTGTAATGCGACGCTATGGCAACGAATGATGAAGTCTCTGAATGTATGAATCAGTCAGTTGTAGTTGTATAGGATGTTACAAATTTTGTTTCTTTTTTACTTAATTAGTTTGATTGAAAAATATTTTTTTTAAATTATGGATTTTATTTAACGTTAATATTTTTTTATGATTATTGGCAAGTAGCGTTAGACCTTTGTTCATTTATTGTCGCGATGGTAACGACATTCTGTATAGGCCCCAATTTCAGTGCAATACTGTATACATTAACATAACACTGAAAAACTTTATCAAAGTTCACCACTTGTTACATTGATAACATTGATACAATGTCAGTTGCAATAGCCCCTTTGTGGTTTGATGAGCATGAATAATATACAAGAAAAAGAAGAGAATATGGATGGTACACACATAAATAAATGCATTTGTGATAAATATAAATGAGATTCATGAAAGCCGTTGCTAGCAGCTGAAAGCTGTAGGTAGGCAATATGTAGGTAAATATGCATGATTTTGTTATTTGAATAAATGAATAATGCAGTAGCAGATATCATCACTTCTGCAACTGCAGTTTTCCTTTGTTCAATTTAACTTAAGACCAACATGATGATTGTCTATCATGGTTCTAAACTTGAACTGTCAAATCCTCAAGTTCCATTTGTAAATAAATTTAGATCCAAAAAAGTTTGTAAAAAAGTTAAAAAAGAAAAAATTTAAAAAAGACAAAAAGAAATAGTGAATATTAGTCAAGAAGTTGGTATAAGATGACAACAGGTACAAAAGATAAAACCTTTGGGTTTCTTGGTCAACATTTACAAGCTAGCTAGCAACATTTTCAAAATAAAATTTCATATCTAAAAGCTGGCCTACCTGAAATTCTTGTCATCCCCATGTTGCTAGCTCTCGTACCATTTTATTATACACAAAAGCAAGTTAATTCTTAATTATAAGTTGAAAAATTATTCAAGACAATAAAAACTTCAATTTCAAACACAATCTACTGATAGAATTTCATACTTACATTTTCATCAAATATTAATCTATGGTAAAGAATAGAAAAGTCATCAAAACCAATTTCACCACGCTTACTAGTATCAATTTCTTGAAAAATGTCTCTCAACTTGCTTGTTGATATTTTACAGTTAATTTTTGGAAGAAATGCCTTTACTTCTTTAAGAGTAATCCTGTAGAAATAAGAAAAAAATGTGAACAGTTATGTAGCACTATGATATATATTTTTTACATTGATTTTATATTACTAACTTCTCATGCGAGTTTTCAATTGCATAAAATTCTTTTCGTAGCCATCTTTCTATTTGCAGTGGGTATGGTGTGTTTATAGCCTCCTCAACTAGAAACCTTATCCCCTTTACCCATGTTTCACATTCTTTATCAGTCTGAGCTGAAACGAAATATTGATTTAAGTTCAGAACTCTACCTCAAATAGCAATGTGAGTCATATGTTTGCATGCTTAGTATATCTGAAATATACAGCAAATCACAGAAGTAATAGAGCAATTAAACTACATGGCAATTTCATTTCTGTTGACACATTAACCTGCCAATGCAATATTGTTCACTTACCAGTAAAAGAGCCAGAACGCAGTTTAAACTCAGTCCCATAATATATAGTAAAACATTTAGAATTTTCAAGTTTTTTAGTCTCTTCAGGCCATCGCTCAAAATCTTTAGAAGACTTGCCGACTCGCACTTCCTTGATATCTCTGATATCTAAGGAATTTTCAAAGTTATGCCGTTGTGGTGCGCCATTTCTGAACAAAATTATTTGATGCGTTTCTCGTCGGACTGACAGGGTTCGCCGTTCCGGTCTTTTTCGTGGATAAAATTTTAGAACTGTAGATCCACGTTCTAAATATGATATTAGTTGATCGGCCTCATGGATAAGTCTATCACTGGCCCCGTTATAGTAAACAGAATTCATGGCACTTCCTTTGTTAGCGCACGGATTGTTTCGAAACGGCTTCTAAAGAGTGACTACATGGGATCCGCTTGTGGAAATATTTAAGTAGAAGCAAATTCTCTTCAGTGCATAATCATTAGGTATATTCGTATTCGTACTGTACCATACACACACTTGTCGGATATTTTGTTTGTTTGACATTTCCAAACCAAATGAGTTATGGCCTGAGGCGTGTTTACAAAGCCTGCTACAAATTTAAAGAAATATTGTTTAATACATTGATGTGTTACACAGCTAAAGCAAAAGATGTAGATAAAAACAATTTACCCTTAAATATACGATTGTTTATGTTATAGATAATTTTGAACAAAAAAAAACTGACTTCAAACAGGAAACTAAAAAAAACATTATCAACGCCTATAACATTTGAGGATCACCCTCGATTTCTCTCCGATGCCATCATCAGATCGGGGTTTCCTTATCATGCTACCACCCTTGGGATATCTCCTTTCCAACAAAAAGAGAATCATCAAAATCGGTTCATAAATGACGAAGTTTTCCCCGAACACACATAAAAAAAATAAAAATGTATACGGTCGAATTGAGAAACCTCCTCCTTTTTTGAATTCGGTTAAAAATTACCGGCCAAAAGCGTACCAAACAGCCTTAACAAACATTCATTCGTTCATCTTAACTTTCTCACACAGTCATGTTGAATGGTACGAAAACGAGGACGGCAAGAGTTTTTTACTTTACAGTAGGGTTACCAACCATACTTTATAATAACGTATCTTACTTAATTTTTGATAAATATACTTACATCGACGCCATATCCATACATCAGTTCAGAACGGCTACTCATCCAGAGTTTGGAAGTTTCTAGAAACAATCGGAGTTGGTAAAAAATCCAATAATTCATCACCTTCAAGTATTAACGTTGAGCTTTTAAATCAACATTTTTCTACCCCTTCTAGCACTTTTGATAGTGTACTTAAAGTACAAACTCTTTATTCTTTCTCTCCAACGCCGACTCTTAATTATCCACCGTTCGTTTTTGCAGTTTACTGTATGTGAAGTTAAGAAGAACATATTGTCCATCTCTTAATATGCTGTCGGTAGTGATGACATTACGCGTAAGATGATTATGCCTCTCCTCGATATTATCACTCCTGTTATCACTTAAATATTAAATGAATGTGTCTCTTCTTCTAAATTTTCAGATGCATGGAAAATTGCTCATATTATACCTGTCCCTAAAAAACCTAATCCCGGTAATTATTCCGATTTTCGTCCAATTTCGATCTTACCTTTCTTTTCCAAAGTCCTTGAAACTGCTTTAATTAAAGTTACCGATGACATTCGTGCGGGTATGGACAATAAACAGCTCACAGTTATGACGTTGTTGGATTTTAGCAACGCTTTTAATACAGTTGACTTGGATATTCTGTTGAGTCAATTGTGTTCTCTTTATTTATCTTCATCAGTAATTGACTGGTTTCAAAATTTTTTTCGCGTTTTAAATTTACCTGTAGTACTTTGTACTAACATAATTACATTAAATATTAACCGTTATCAATAGAAAATAATATGGGGCCAATGGGCCTCCACTCCTTTGTCGCCCCGAGGCCTCCAGACTTATATATACATACAATTACAATCAATTTCCAATATCGTTTTTACAATGATAATTCGAACGAGAGATGTCGCCATTGCTTTTTAGAAATTTAATTTTTTTATTAGGCAACAAATTATTACTCACGTTCGTCGACGAGGCATTTAGCTTAGTGGCTAAAGCGTCAGGGCGCGATTGTCGAAGACGTGGGTTCGATTCCCTCAGAGGCAACAAACTTTTCGTACTTTTTCTAAAAATATTAAAATTGAATCTTAAGTGCAGAGATTAGCACTATAAAAATTTCAATTTCTTAATAGTAATCACTATTAATACTTATAAAAAACTTTCCGATGAAGAGTGATCATGGTATTATTAAGCGATTTTCACATATGATTGCGACACAATTTGACAACACAAACGGGCATAATTAATTATTTTTCGTGAGCACGTTGTTCATGATTCAAATTACACTTACATAGGTGAGTTACTTACATTCGTTACCCTAGTCGCCAATGATATTAATTACATTTATTTTGCCAATAAAATTGAAACTTTATGATTTGTTCTCTATCATCTTCATTACATCAGCTTTTTCTCGTTATAAGCATGATCGGAAACTAAGGTTTCGTTCATTTAGCGAAGATTACACGAAAATCATTTTTTGCGTATATTTCTGAGCTAAAAAAAAGCTCAATCATGTTCTAATTATAAGACTGGGTTAGGTATGCCCTAAAAATACTTATATTAATATTTGAACCCACCTAACACAAAATGTACATTACATTCAGTGAATGTTGTTCATTTTTTTAATGCATTAAAAATTTCTAATAAATTTTCTATTAACAATCCGGTTAATAATGTCAATAAAATTAATCAAGTGAGTCTTACATAAAGTTTTCAATGCTCGTTTTCACTATGTAAATAATGTTTTTCTTTATTTCTGTAAGAAAAAAAAATTTGGAATAAATTTGCCGTCCCCTAAAATCTGACGCCATAGGCTCTAGCCTACTTAGCCTGCTGGTAACTCCGCTACTGTTTGCGCCGTTTGGTGAGATTAAATGATTCATCAAGTATCTAATCAGAAACGCTATCTTTTTATAACATTTGACGTGTGTGAGAAAGTTATGATGAACAAAAGGCGTGTACTGTCTTTAGAACACTTCACTGGCGATTTTGTAATCGTATATAACATATCTTTAGTATAAAATAGCATTGTTTAGAGACAAAAGACCTGTAAGAGATATTGATTATATTGGGAATAATTTATAGAGACTTACTTTCAATGTGTGAAACATTGCAAAAAAAGATGGCACGTCTAAAATAAGAGCCTGAGTTAATTTAAAACTTTTTATTTGTTAGAAAAAAATATACACTTATAATTCTCAAAATATTTCATTCTTATAGAGTTCCTTAAACCATCAAAATGTTCAATTATTACATAGACCGGAATTTGCAATATGAAATGGTATCGCTGTTTAAAAAACAAATATGAGCAAAGCGAATTTCAATACAATATAGAACATTAAGTAGTAAATAGTCACACAATCATCTTTCATGTTGGAGCCAAGAATTACCTAACAGCAACCATCAGTTTGGTTATAAATGGCAAGAGGATAAAAAAATCAAAACAATTATAACAGTATTTGTATGGTGACATATTACATTTGTATAAATAATTTATTACAATACACAGTACAATTACAAGGATCAAAGCAACCTCCTGTAAATATTAATTTCAAGTTATAATTGGTCTTTGTCACCATCAAATCCTTTAAATGTATCAAGCAATATCGTACAAATTCAGATCTATGTGGTAAACAGTAATGCGTTCAGTGAGTGATGAACTTGAGCGCGATGTGGTGTATATGGAGCGATCAGCTCAAAAATATCTCTTAAGTCTATGGTAAATATAATCAAACATACTCTCCAATTGATTCTCTTTTATATCGTTAATAAATTTATCTAACAATAAGATATTTATAGAGCCGACTGCACAGTTTGTACAGCTGATTTTTATAAAATTGCTTTAATTTATCGTTTCTCTTTGTATTTATAATGGTGTTGTTAGTTTTGGAATGTTTGTGGCGTTTCTTTGAGGCGGCTGCTCATTACGGCATATCAATGATGTGGCGCTATACAAAACTCTGCTTTGACACTTAAAGCTATAGTATTTCGATTATAACCATTGCTTCGTTCGTTTCGTCAGCTCCGCAACATATACATAAAATCTATTCAAACTATTTGTTACATGACGCGAACACGCCGAGAGGCGTACTGCAGCGGGGCTTCGCTTCGTTTAAAAAAAATGAGATCGCGTTACATCTCAGTACTGCATCTGGTCTCAGTAACGAACCTAACGACACAGTACCTATTGCTACTTTATTGCTTTCCATTAAAAGAAACTGCACGCTATAACAATCTCTCTGTTTCAGCTAAACATCGCAGACGATATATATTTTTTTCTATGTGAAAAGTTGGCAAACGAGCTGGGGGGCTCGACTGATTTTCATCGACCAACGCCGCCCATGGACATCTACAACGCCAGAGTAGTTGCAGACGCGTTACCAACATCTTAACACAATGTGGGCGCCGGTTACCACTCGCCGGACGAAAGGCGAAAGTACGGTGCTTGCACAATTCGCCGGTCTTCTGTGATGCCGTCGCTCCCCGTATGAGCCTGTGCCTATCGCCTATCGGTTGTGTGATGTAAGTTGTTATGTTGCGATGTTCAGTTGAGAAGGGCCTACGGCGGCGCGAGCCCGGCGGCCAGTTGGGGCGTCGCCGCCTGCATGACCTCGTCGAACGCTTGCTCCAGACAGTGCTTCAGCTCGGCGTAAGATACCACGAGGACGCTCTGCTCATCTCGAGACATCAGCTCCACCTGTGGACCGTTGTGCAATTACAATTTGTATGCCGCAACTGAACCCACGCGCCAAGTAATCAACGGACACTCGAGTGGTGTTAAGTTTGTTAACGTTTTTATTTTCATCTATTAGTTAAATGAAATCCAACTGGTGAGGCTGCGCTTGGCAAAGGAACGAAATTAATGCTGTAAATGCTAAAGAAAAGTGTCAGCGCTATTAACAATGATGTTAATACATATACTCGTAGAGATGTGAAAATTACGTGTGATGCGAAAAAACAAGAACAAAACAAATACGGAATTGGCCAAAAAGATTACATAAGGAGGACAGGACTGTTTGAATATTTTTCCTGCGGTTTAACGAGCAACGCACGCAGGTGACAGGTTTTTTTATATGTGAAAGTATGGCAAACGTGCTGGTGGTTCACATGATGTTAAGTGATAACCGCCGCCCATTGACATTTGCAACACCCGTAGGGTTGCAGATGCTTTGCCACCTTTTAGAGACCCCGGCGCTACCTCACTTATTAGACGAAACGCAGAAGAATAACACTTACACTTCACGCCGGTCTTCTGTGAGGTCGTGGTACTTACCTGGACACTGGACGCTTATTGTTGATGAGAAGACTAGCCATTCATTCATCGTTTCAGTCCGGGCTGAACATAGTCACTCATAGACCGCCACAATCCCACTGGAAGTGTGCGGGAAGTCGATGGTCGTGCTTCGTGGCGGCCTTTGGGCGAGGCCTATGTTCAGAAGACTATAAGCGACAATAATCTCAAGAGTTTCCATCATACATTCTGCCTATGTAGTGTTTTATTGTCTATGTATTTGTATGTGAAAACTTGTAATCGGCATTCGTAAACTTAAAAAAAAAAAACAGAAAATGTTAAACAATCCTACGGACTCCCTTCCTAGGGACACACCGTAACCGTCGTGGGGTCAAGCAACAGTCTTTGCAGTTGCACGAATGTCGCCGCTAAAACAACGAGTACTAAAAACCGAAGAGCAGACATAAAGACATTTTTAGATAACGGTACGATTCCGTACTGCTAATTTCAATGTTTCAAACGACGTTTGCCCCACGAATTGCACCAGTCTTCTTGTTAGGCGGTACCTTGGCGTTGGTGCCGCCGTCGAGCTGATTGAGGCAGTGGGCGAGGTGGGCCTGGTCCAGCCACGGCCGCCCGTCCTCGGAGACCGAGTGGAACAGGTAGTCGCGGAACAGCTTCAGCATGTACCGGTCCCCGGTCTCAGACCACGACGCGTCCAGATTCAACCTGACGCGCACAAACGCGCAGAAAACAAACAGACAACTATATAGACGGTAGAAGTGGTCGCCCCGTGAACGCTCGTTGGGTGGTTACGACCGGGACTATGTCTCAGACGGCTGAAGATTTAATTGTGGCTTAGTAATAAATTATGTATAAGGTACACCTTTATACATTATTTATTACTAAGTTATGTGAAATAAAATCATGTCACTATTTCTTGTATCTACGCGATTACACATTACTAAATGAAACTATGTTTACGGATTTATCGCGTTTATTTTAATTTTAATACCCGAAGTTTCGAACCCCCAGGCAGATGTCCAACGCCTCAGTCTGTCCCGTGACCATGAACGCTGTAAGGGGTTCGAAACGTCGGGTTCTAAAACCAAAATAAACGCAATAAATCCGTAAACATAGTTTCATTAAGTAAAATAATGTTAGACCCGCCCCGGCTTTGCAAGGGTGCAATGTAGATACTTATGTGGGGATTTTGTTACTACCTCACATTACAAATCATTACAATATGCATGTATACTACACATAAACCTTCCACTTGAATCACCCTGTCTATTTCTGAATACGACATTAAAATCCACGACATAGTTTAAAATCTAAGCGTACAAACTGCGGGAGTGACTTTGATTTATGTATGTATGTATATTTATGAGCATGTTTTAGATACCCGTGTATAGTCGATTCGGGTTTTCTCGCTGACATAAATTTAAGAATTCATTTAAGCAACAACACAGTCCGATGGGGTATTGGTGAAATTAGTTATGATGAAGCTTCTTGTGTAATTTTTTTGCAAGCCACCTAATTATCTATACGTATTATTATTATGCATATGTTTGTATTGGACCAAGGAATATACGAAGAAACGCTTTTTACGATTACTTTCATGTATGATGGTTCCGTGGCGCAGCTTCCAAGGTATTGGCTTCGGCTTCGGGGGTCGTGGGTTAGATCCCCACACGGGACAACTACTTGTGTGACCCACAGGTGGTTGTTTCGCATCGGGGTGTTTATCCACGTCAAATTTATGTTTGTAAAACGTCCTTACCACACAGGATAATGTAATCGTAAAGTGGGTCAATATTTTTTGGGTTTAATGGTGAAACTAAACTTTGACAACCGCACTACCACACCAAAGGCGTATTAATATTTAATGTTTTCAGGGATTATTTCAGACAACCCCTTATCAAATATAATATCTGGAGCAACATGTGGGGCACGCGCCGTGGTAGGAAGTTACCGTGTATTTGTAAACCACTTAAAACAAAACAGGTTGTTAGCTGTCGCTACTGCATCTAGCGTCGGAACATTTTGCCAAAAACTTTAGTGGTAGATTGCATGAATCTTTTCAATTGGTGTTTGAAATTTCCCAATTTGCCCTAAGAAGTGTTCACTCATAACGGTTAGGAGTCCGACAGCATCGAAGGTTTAACATTACTATTAAGTTGGGTGGTAAGTCTATACGGCTGCTGCGACCTTAAAAATCTATTGTAGTTTCCCTTGAGTATAATTTAGGTCTAGTTTAGTGTCCCCTCTAAGCTATATAGCCTCCTCCAAACCAACAATCATCGATGGCTCACTCGGGGCGCTCGTTGATGACGCCAAGCTTGATTAGTATGCGAAGGAGGCGGCCGTTGTCGATTTCCCGCGCGAGTTGCTCCTCGAACACATCCGCTCTCCGTTCCAACGCCTCTACCTGCATCAAGGAGTCAGCTGTACCCATTGCTAGCACAAGGTCTCCCATGCTTTCGACTCGGATTCGGAGAAGAGGTGAACAATAGAAAAAAACTCCGTGCGTGTACTAACGTAATACGTGTACACGTTAGAATTATACTCATTTAGCGTATCAAAAGAAAAATAAGTGATAAGACAGTATCCCGTGTTACTAGCACACGCTCTTTTTGTGTGTAAGAAAAAGACTTTAAATTAAATAGCTTGGAAAATTTATAGTGAAAAGGTTGTTTTGGTTGCCATGGTAACACCGCGAAGTTGGCGTCGCCTTGTGTAGATAAAATTTTCTTCTCTCAAATGCACCAAAAGAAGTAGAACTTCAAAAAAAGAATCATTATTCTCGCCAGGGATAAATGTACTAATTGCTATGGAATTTAAACTTTACTTGTACATATATTTGACGGGCTTATAAATAGGAAAACGCTATCAGGTTGCAATTACCCATATCTTAAACCTATTAAAAATAGTTACTACTTTTTTTTAAATGCAATGGAAAAAAAACCTACCCTTGTCAAATCAACTTGTTAAATTATCACGTTCTCCGCTAATGTATAATAAAAAAGTTAATTCAAAGAACAAAATTTTAATTTATATGCACATTCAAAATTAAGCTTACGATTAAGTTGGACATTGTAAATTAGGTGATTTATATCTGAAAAGGATATCAATTAGACAAGCAAAATTAATTTCATATTTTAACCTTAAAAAGTGCACGAACATAGTAATATGATAATCGAAGTGGCTTTTGCATTGAACAAAGGAATGAACGTCTACAAATGCTTCGCCCTTTTTCATATTAAATAAAAGTAATTAATAATGAAAGCATAGTTATCATTTAATTTTTTTTAAATAACAGTCATTATCAATAAGCAACGCTATTTTGATAAATAATTGCTAATTTGGTGAATTGAAAATATTTCTTTGAATTTTTAGGAAGGTATTATTAATTAGAAAAATTAAAAAATCTACAAAGTTACGTGCTATATCCACTTACTTGCTTTCAGATTTTTTTTTATTTAAGAAGAGTTTCTTTCTTGAAAATACCTAATTCAGAAATTTCGTTTAATATACTGTGGTTATATTCGTTTTTCAAGTGATATTCCAATATGACATAGCAAGCTGACATTGACAAATTACAATAACGATATCACGTAATAGACCTAATTTGTCCACGCCAATAAATTGTTCGTGCTCGCAAAGCTACAATTTGGGTGACCTGTTTCTTAATAGGTAATATCCTAGTAAGAATATCCCATAAATATGTGAGACCCCCGCAGTCTTTATCTTTGCGGGAGCCGTAATAACAAACAGAGAAAAGGCGAGTCAAAAAAGCCCAAGATATTCGATGACTCCGTGCCGCAGTTGCGAATGTATTGATTTCGGGGTCGGGGGTCGGATCGGGGTTCGATTTCCACACGAGACAACTATTTGAGTGCCCCCACAGACAATTGTTCCGGATTTGGGTGTTTGTCCACGTGAAATTTATATATGTAAAACGTCCTTACAACACAAGATAATATTATTCTACAGCAAGAGCAGTGTTTAAGAGAAAGGAAAATATATAAAAATACCTGAGTATAGAACCTGGCTCCTATCATTGGCATGAGATCGGTCACGGAGCGGCGGACGGTCGGCGATGACAACAGGTACCTGTTTGACAATTTTTTTTATTTTTTTTATTAAAAAACTGGCTAGTACTTGACTGCCATCCCACCTGATGGTAAGTGAATTATACTCTGAAACTCGGTGATGCCGACGGTAAGCTATCGGCTTCGGCGTCGGGGGCCGTGGGTTCGAATCCCACACGTGCAAGTATTCGTGTGACCCACAGATAATGTTCCGGATCTGAGAGTTTCCCAAAGAGAAAGTCAAGCAGGCGGCCGGACGTAAAAGATATAGACGAAATCGCTTAAAACGCGATTCACATGCCGATCCCGCCTATGTGAGATAAGGTAAGAAGGGTGATGATGATGGGAAATTATAATCGTACGGCAATGCCTACATGCCAACACGGTGCAACACAAGCTATACACAGGGTAGAAAACTCGTTCCAGGAATTTTTCCGGCTCCGGCCACCGACCAATACAGCCAATTTCCATCAGGGTCACGGTTCGTTCCGAACCTCGATGGCCCGTAGGTGAATATGTCATCCGTTTAAGAAAAACGTAAGTGTTTACTTGTAACAAAATGAAAATAAGTGAAAATCCATCCCGTGCCCGCCGTGCCAGTTCTCTTTGCTTTGCTTTCACTTAAGGTGAAAAATTAGAATTTGAAGAAAAAATGGACGACGTTTTTCGCCGCTGCAAGAAATCGAACCCAAGTCTTCGCTAAGCGGCCTACAAATTTTAATTGTATCTAAATGTCAAAAAGGTCTTATTTGTTGTAATTGTAACAACGTGAATGTAGATTTTAGTTGACGCGCATTGTAAATATTCACTAGAATATTTCCGAAACGCGCAAAAGATTCCAAAAGAAGTATAAATTCAATAACGCACGCATGAACACATGAGCGGTAGAGCGCATACCCGTATCAAGATCTTCGGTTCTGGCTAACCCGCGAGTTCTGTGTTCGATGAAGCTTTGATAACCCATGAACTGATAGCAAAATTTACTGTAAAGTAATGATATTACATTTGTGTATTTGGCATATATGGAATGCGATCCACGTCACATTCACGCGCATGTCATTTGGCCATGGAGAATAAATACCAATGGAATGAGAAGAACGGACGAAAAAGTTATCCCAATTTGTACGGTCGCGTAGCTTCGACTACGGTTTAGGTTTGCGCCTCCGTCGAATATCCCGCCCAATTGATAAAATTAACTTGTTACGAAATGGTTAAATATGCCAAACGTATGTTATATATTGAATTATATAATATTGAAAAGGCGGTTAAGAGAGGCGTGCTAACTAATCGAAGTAGAGTGTAACAATAACTTAATGAAAACTGAACTAGTAGTGGTCGCGTTGTTGATTGTAACGAGCGACACGGGCTCTATTCGTCGCGTCTATCAAGTCGTATGCGCGGCAGCTGGAATATGGGGAGAGTGGGTCGTACAGTATGAGGTTCTTGAGGTCTGCCGAGTAGGTCCTCGCAACGAGCTCCATTGAGGCGGCGAGGTTGTCGCAGTGGATGGTGCGGCAGGCCAACGACAGCGCCAACCGGCCCAAAGCTGTCAGGTCGTCCTGCTGCGCCTACAACCCCGTCAAAGGCATTTGGTAAGCTTTTATGTGAAAACATGTCAAGCGAGCAGACGGTTCGCCCGATGTTAAGTAACCTTTTTACCTTAACCTTTTGAAAATTGGTAGTACAACCAAATACATTAATACCATTGGTAGTACAAATACAACCTAGTAGTAGCCTATAAACAACGATGTACGAAAGCATATTAAATTTAGTTTAATTTAATATGCTTTCGTACATCGTTTCGTTTACGGATTTTTTGATTTTTAATTCCCGACGCTTCGAAGCCTTTACAGAGTTCACGACCACGTGACAGACATTCCGTCCCGTGACCACAGACCACACAAATCTAAGCGAGTGGCCTATTATCCTGGCCCACGTTCTAGATGTATGTATTTTTTGTGGCATACTTAGCTGGCCCACTTTCTAGATGTATATTTTATCTGTGGCTTCCTTACCTGGCCCAAGTCTAAGAAGTATATTTTATCTGTGGCTTCCTTACGTGGCCCAAGTTTAAGAAGTATATTTTATTTGTGGCTTCCTTACCTGGCCCAAGTTTAAGAAGTATATTTTGTCTGTGGTTCCTTTACCTGGCCCACGTTTAAGAAGTATATTTTATCTGTGAGGTTCCTTACCTGGCCCACGTTTAAGAAGTATATTTTATCTGTGACTTCCTTACCTCGCCCACCTTACGGCCCACGTTTAAGAAGTATTTTATTTTATTTGGGGCTCGTGGGCTCGTTACCTGGCCCACGTACCTATAGCCCACGTTTAATAACTACATTTTATCTGTAGGTTTCTTAGCAGGCTCACGTTTAAGAAGTATATTTAATCTGTGGGTTCTTCACCTGGCCCACGTTTAAGAAGTATATTTTATCTGTGACTTCCTACCTCGCCCACGTTCAAGAGGTATATTTTATTTGTGGGCTCGTTACCTGGCCCACGTTTAATAACTACATTTTATCTGTAGGTTTCTTAGCAGGCTCACGTTTAAGAAGTATATTTAATCTGTGGGTTCTTCACCTGGCCCACGTTTAAGAAGTATATTTTATCTGTGACTTCCTACCTCGCCCACGTTCAAGAGGTATATTTTATTTGTGGGCTCGTTACCTGGCCCACGTTTAATAACTACATTTTATCTGTAGGTTTCTTAGCAGGCTCACGTTTAAGAAGTATATTTAATCTGTGGGTTCTTCACCTGGCCACGTTTAAGAAGTATATTTTATCTGTGACTTCCTTACCTCGCCCACGTTCAAGAGGTATATTTTATTTGTGGGCTCGTTACCTGGCCCACGTTTAATAACTACATTTTATCTGTAGATTTCTTAGTAGGCTCACGTTTAAGAAGTATATTTAATCTGTGGGTTCTTCACCTGGCCCACGTTTAAGAAGTATATTTTATCTGTGGGTTCCTTACTTGGCCCACGTTTAAGAAGTATATTTTATTTGTGGTGGTTTCCTTACCTGGCCCACGTCGTTAGCACTGGGGTGCAGGGCGTCAGCTGCCCCACACCACGCAATGCGCACCCGACACCCGTTCATGACCACCTTGGTTGGGTCCAAGGTCCTAGAAAGGGCAAAGGAAGTACGAAAACAATGATTCACGTTTATGCAGTAAGCATCGATCAATTCGTAGGCTGAAGTACATTGTCATACATGATGTTGACTTCGCTAGCGACGAAGGTATTCACCATCAATTTAAATATATAAATTTTAATAAAGAACCTCTCATTTTATATTTAGAACGTGAATATATGAATATGTCATATATGTGCGCCCTACTTCGTAGTAGATTAGTTTAATATCGCAGCGTTGATTTGTAAATCGTCCAATAACAACAGTTGACATTGGTAGCACATAAACTTGTTGACCGATTCTACTAGTTGATTTACGTGAATAAACCTTAACGTTACTTTGACAGGATAACCATGGACGAGCATACATCATGACATAATTTTGCGCCGAATGGGGAAAAGGGGTCCTCTACGCAAAGTCATGCAAGTCGCTATTGTTTCATTATCCCTCTGCCGCATATAACATTACTAAAAATTATGATGGTAGTACTTCGTGACCTGATTCTACCGGTAAATATCCTTGAATATTATATCGGCGTATTTCTTTATGGTGCCCTCCGTTAATTACGAAGGCCCTTTAGGGGTGGGGAGTGGGGAATTCGACTAAAATGATATTCACATTCGGGACGTTGCGGCAAAAAGCCTAAGATATATGTTATGCCATGCATATTTGACAGTCAAAATGAAGAACATGCGAGAAAAAACTTAATCAAGTTTTTTTTTTTTCTCAATTAAGTTTCTTCCTATTCTTGCCGTATAAAGCACAATAAACATTTTAACGTTGCTAAAAAAATATTTTTCCAGTGCCAGATTCACTTTCCGAGTGGGTTTTGAGCCTCCGGGATAAATCTTATGTAGGTGAATATTAAAATATTGTTACCTTAAACCTCTTACTCATATTAAACAGGGGGTAGGCCTACTTTTTCTTATATAAGTGGGGGGGGGGGGGGGGGGGGGGGGGGGGGGGGGGGGGGGTCAAAACCTGGGGAAATTAGTCTTACGTAATTAATTAATGGCCCCTTACGCCTGTGGTATGCATAGTTACCTGCAAGCGAGACCGGCCGTGTGAATCGCTCGCAAGGCCGCAGTTAGCTGAACGAGGAGGCTCCATAGCACCGCCTCGGGCAGCAGGGCCCCACTCGCCACCGCACGGAGCATCGCGTTTTTCTGTGCACGCACACAACCGCGAGGTGCGCGTTAGCTTTCACCCACTTCGTCACAGGATAAAGTAACACCGTATATATGACGCAGGATAAAGTAACGACCTATGTATTATGTCCCATGAAAAAGTAACAAATACTTTATGTGTACGTCAGAAGAAAAAAGAACAGCCCATATATGTCGCACGAAAAAGCAACAGCCCATATATGTCGCACAGAAACTTAACAGCCCATATAATTATCTCGCAGATAAACGTAGCAGCCTATATATATCCAACTGCTGGGCAAAGACTAAGTACGGTTGTATTACCTGCCACCACACGACCCCACCGCGGATTGACGAATTTCACATACGTACAATTGAAAACATTTTTTTGAAAATGAGCACATTTTTTACGATCTTTTCCTTCACCGACGAGCTCGTGGCGTGTCAGCACTGGAAATTGCATTTAACAATTTCTACTTATATTTAGAATGCATTGAATTAAAAGCGAGCGCCCGGACTCTGAGCTATCACGACTCGTACACCTCAAAGTAGACCGGGCTCGTTTGCTATCTCCTCACATTCATTCAACCTCATTTTGTCACAATTATGACGTTGCCTCTCGAAAAAAATTAGGAACATATTTAAAACTAACACGGCATGTCTGCACGGGGTGTGGCGGAAAATAAACTGTGTGTCTGTGTCACACATGTAACTAATGCGTTTGCGCGCGGAGCCGCTCGATCACCTGATGCGTGTAAGGGCGCGGTGCGTCCGGATCGGAGGAAAAGGGGTCGTGGAAGGAGCTGTTCGAGTCTGCGGAGTTGCCGCCGCCGGCGCCCGACAGGTATTTGCTCATGAGGGTCATGCACGCCGGATGATACTCGTACACCATCACCGTTGCTGTGGAAAACGTGGAAATTCAATTGAATCTCCGGGCGATCACACTCCTCGAGTTCAGCACGGTCTAATGCAAAAGTCAATTAACAAAATTGTCTAAAATATAAATACATGATCGGCTACAAAACGTGCAGGTGGGGCAAAAGCGATATAGACTTCGGCGCAGATAAGATGATAATAGTTTATATGAAATCGTACACACTTCACGAGTGCATTCATTTGTTCGATATTTGACAGTAACAGCCGGGTCCTCGGTGCTATTCTGAGACATGGTACATCCAATATCGTTCAACGCTCATGTAGTGTTGGACGACACATCAAACGTACGATAAATACATAAATACGAAGATATTCTGCACAGCGAGGGTGCGATGGCGTTGCGCGAATTGAAGACGGCCCGACGAGGTCACCGTCACGCGGAGGGCGCAGTGGTGGGGGGGTTGTGGGTTTCCGCCCGCCGGCTCCCACTCACAGTGATCACCGAACGCATTCGTGGCGAAGCACTCCAGCAGGCGCACCACGTTCGGGTGGTCGACCTGGCGCCACATGTCGAGCCGCTTGCCCACCGCCGCCGTGTGCCCGTGCAGCCGCCGCAGCGCGTAGTGCTCGCCGCTCTGGCGGTGCACCGCGCGGAACGAGGAGGCGAGCGAGTGCGGCGCGACGCCCTCTAGCGGCATCAGCTCCGTGTACATCTCCACGTTCTCCGGCAGATCTGACGGTGGGAGGTGACGGCCGATCGTGACGTAACATTTATCGCGCACCAGACTTGTGCCCGGTTCCTATGTTCAACGAGCGGCCGTTAGTTACACAGCTTCGTAGCTCTCGTAACGGCTTGTAGATTAAAGGAACGCTAGTAACTCACTTTCCGTGGGTAATGCAACGTAAAATGCTCGTAAAGAAAACGCCTCGTTTTGTTAATAGTACCTGGAGGACCGAGCTTTGCTCGGTTTTTTCTTTGGTAATTCATGTATTTTGGAAATAAAAAAACATAAAAAATAAAGAAAATGATCTGGTATAGAAAAAAAAGTAAAAAAAAAGTGTGTAAATGATCGTGATACGAACCGCGGCCGTCTGTTTAGGGACCGCCCGATTACCAACCGAGCTATTATTACATTTTCTTTTGCGGCGAAATTTACTGTCGTATTCGATTAATATTTTTCATTCCCTGAAAACAGGGATAAAAGGACATTTTCTAAAAATTAAACCTAGCTAGATCGATTTTTCGCCCCCGAATCTACATACATACCAAATTTCATGAAAATCGCTGGAGCCGTTTCCGAGATTCCGATTATATATATATATAAATATATATACATACAAGAATTGCTCGTTTAAAGGATAAGAGATAGGAACCGGGCGTACACGCCTCTTGTCTACAAGTCTTTATGAAAGTTGCGAAGCTATGTAACCAACGGCCGTTCGTTGAATATAGGAACCGTGCAATGCTAGCATACTTGGCTTAGCACTCAGGATATGATCAATGTTGCCATTAATGATCAAGAAAATTATAACAATTTATTGTGCCCTTGATACGGTTACGTGTCAAACATTACCACCATCCGCTATTTATATTTTCTTCGTCATCCTCATCATAAACACATGTAGGAGACATGCCTGACATGATGAGAATCATTACTGAATTAATATAGAGCTATATTTTCGCACCGTGAGTATATCGGCCGGTTAGCTCATTTGACCAGGCGATAGGCGCATTACCTAGAAGACGCAGGTTCGCGAACATACATCAATTATCTTCTTCAGAATCGGCCTGTCTCAAGTGTACTACTGAACCCAGCACATTAAGTACTTAGTTTTTATTCGTAACGAGGAGCAAAAATTAAAAAAAATCACAGGTAATTCGAATTACCCTGTACTCCCCTCTAATTTTTGTTACATTTATCACATACTTCTGACAGGAATATAAAATGTAGTTTATTCATGTTTTACTTGGACTTTGGTTAAAACACCCAACTTGACAGAGTATTGGAGCACCACAGCATTCAAAACCATTATAAAGTATTCAAATAACAAAATTTTACATATCTCATAACGTCATTAAGGCATGGGACCTATCCTTTTAAACATTTTCAAAGCTGGGAATTTTCACAAAAGAAGTTATTTATTTTGATTTGTAATATTTAAATAAATGTCAGTCTTGTATTTACCAAAGGAATGAACGCAGACTATTTATACCTGGAAATTGGTGGGGGTCGACGTGGAGGAACACATCCTCATTCCTCTGGCATATCTCTGCACGGATTGTCTCCGGCATGTAGAACGATGCTGCGAGACCTATGTAAAATAATTAAAAAAATGGTAGACATGGAAAATTTCCCGACTTATGCCACTCTCATCATCATTTCAACATCTGTTTAAGTCACTCCCCCATAGATTACCCACTAAAAATAACCACCTGACTTCAATTCCAGTTCAATTTCCCAGTCACGGGGCTACTTTTCTAATAATACGTAATGTGACAGAACATAAAAAAAATTGTATGACACTAATTTGCTATTGCGAGGCGATGTTATTCACGTCATAATACCAAGATTATTGGCGGCGTATGAGTAAAGATCAATTGTATGATTTAACAGCCCCTAAACCCTAATGTCCTGATTTAAAGCATCACTTGATCACTACATTATCATGATTTTAAAAAACCTGTGTATATCTCTTACTGTTAACTACTAATACGCAGAGCAAATACTTTGTATCCGTCGTCTAAAAAGTGTTACTTTTAAAAGATATACGAATAAACCATTCTAATATACCGTAATACTAGCATAGCAAAAAATATACAACATTCGCTACGAAATAAAGAACTCGTTATTACATTTTTTTTTTTCAATTAACGCACAGGGATCGTTAATATTAATGAGATGTTACAACTAAATTTGTTAGCAGCAAAGAGACTTCGTGTCTTTTGAAGATTGTAAATGCATAAGCAAAGTTATATCTTTCTCAATATAAATACGTAGCTACATTTAACAGCTCCCATGATTGATGTACATTTTCATTTCCATTATACTTTTATTTCGATTTCAAAAATGGATTGGAGTAAAAACAGTAAGCGCAGCGACCGACATCTCTCTGCACGACACGTTCCTCCAACATTGTTATAATAAACTAATATTATATATAATAAAAACATATGTATGAATAATAGCTACAGTTGAATTGGATAAAACTATATTTAACTATATATTATGGTCTGTAAAATGATGTTGATGATGATACTGACGACTGTGGTAGTGCAGACTATAAATATTTACTCTTTTATTCCAATATGGAACAAAAAAGTCAAAATCAAAAAAAATATACAGGTTTTAATTTAAGCAATAAAATTCAAGTAACGCAACGTAAACAAACACGAGATAATTCGATACGCATAAATTTGCACAGTTCGCTAAGCTTCAAATAATTTTAATTTTGTACGCCCCCGCCTTTATTCAAATTATACTTGCCCGCAAGCGCTTGCTTATTGTTTGTAGTCAATTATAGTTTCAAGCTAAAACTACAGTCTCGAAACTGAATTTTGAAACTGTAATCATAAATATAATGTGAATTGAGAAGATGTTAGTAACTGTTTCATGTCGAGAATCGATGGTACTTGACTTGAATATGTCAACAAATTTACAAATGCCAATAGTTAATAAGTTGTCACGTTGCCGTGGTGAATATTACATTATTTTTGCACATTTGGTGTAAACATGGTTATTATTATCAAAGCAGACGACGGCATAGAAACACGTACACGAAATAACGCCAGCCAAGATGCCAAACCTGATCAATCCATGTAAATGAAACGTCACCAGAGAATTTATAAGTGACGTTGCAATCAGTTTTCAATCAGCTCCATAGCATTCGCAATAGGAAACAATTATGGCAAAAGAATATAGAGGATTAATAATGTTTTTGTTTGTTCAGACCACATTTTTCCCCAAGTCATTGACTGTAATTTATGAATGAGGCAGAAATAAACTGTAACTTCGGCAAATTGAAAAGATAATTATGTGTTAAGAAAAAAGTGTTCGCATAGAATGCTCGAAATTGAAAAAGATTATCGCTACTCTATACTCGCTATTCTCTTCTATTTTCTACTTTTTAAGTAGCACATTAAGAAGCCTAAACTGAACTCTTATAACCGGGCAGCTGAATGAAGTACTTAAATGAATACGTGTCGGACCTTGCAAATCTATTACGATTTATTTATTCGCTGCCAGACACTGAATTTGCGGCGATGATAGTTAGTTAAGGAGATGCGTAATCGACCGCGCAATTGAGAGAGGCAATGTAGATAGATAGATAAATAATAATAACAAGCTAGCAGTGGCCAGTGATCGGGCGGGACGCAGATTTAAATCTTCGCAGCGGCGAGAACCTTTTCTTTCCATTTTTCTACAAATTTTAAATCTCATCTTAAGTGCAGATAATAGCACTAAAGTAACAGCCTATAAATGTCCCACTGCAGGGCAAAGGCCTCCTCTGTACATAGGGTATCAGGGCATAGTCCCCCACGCGGCCCCACTGCGGATTAGCGGACTATAAAAATTAATATTATCATCCTTCTGCCTTTATTATATTATACCCTAGGTGGGGTCGGCACAACATAATATGAATCATGTTGTAAGCGGTTTTGGCTATATTAATACGACCAGCGGTCTGCCTGAGGTCAACCCTCTTTGAGAGCAAACGCTCAGATCCGGAACAATTATCTTTGGGTCACACAAATACTTGTCCCAAGTGAGAATAGAACCCATGACGACAAAGCCAATAGATAAGCAACGGCGCTACCGAGTCACTATAAAAATTAGTGTCATTTAAATAATAATAAATATTTACGAACCAGGTTTGGGAGCCATCGGAGCCATGTGGGTCGGGGTACCGGTCCCATACATTTGTGATGCATACGCCGAGGCTGTTCCCGGTCCAACACCTGCGCCGAGGCATGACTCTGAACCACCTACAAATTAAAATCGAAATGCCAAGAACGAATACGGTTGCCGGTTCGGCTTTTGAAAGCTACCAATGAACTGAAATATGCAAGACATAAAAATATATATAAAACACATTTTAACACGCAAGACAAGAAATTGCGTATTATAGGGGTTCATTTTAAAATGAGAATTAGTACCTAACATTACATATTTGTTAACTTAAGATTCTTGTAACTTATTTGTATAACAAAGTAAACAGTCATGTCGATGTATATAATATTAATAATACGCGTTTACCAGAGCTGTCTACGCATGATCTTTACTCGTTAAAATTACAAGTTTCGGGACTGCAATGAAGAAAAACCATCAAGTGTGAGTCAGACTCGCGCACGAAGGGTTCCGTACCATTATATATAAAAACGGCAAAAAATCTTTTTTAAAAACTTTACATTTTTATATTCTGTTTTTTGTCTTTGTTGTTATAGTGGCAATAGAAATACATCATCTGTGAAAATTTCAACTAACTCTTTGAGTAAAAGTGTTCTGTGTGTCTATCACGGTTCATGAGATACAGTCTGGTGACAGACAGATAGACAGCGCAGTCTTAGTAATAGGGTCCCGTTTTACCCTTTGGGTACGGAACCCTAATAACTTAGTTTTTTCTTTCTTCGAAGCATAATATAAATAAGCGTAAATATTCTTTTTATATATACTTGAATAAAATATAGTCGTTTAATAATAATCACAATAAATAAGTTAATAAAGAAGAAATAAATAATGATTGCGTCCGTATTAGCTTGGTGTTCCGGCGTACGCTTTTTAATGTAAAATACTCCAGCAACCCGAGATCCAAACCCGGTTTCGGCGCCAAAGGAGTTGTTAATAACATTATAAGTGCTGAATTATCACGCAATCAACGGTGAAGGAAATCTTCGGGAGGAGAGCTGCGTATTTTAGAAATAATGATAATAGAGAATATTTCGAAAATATGTTAAATTCACTATTACCGGGCCTAATACTTAACACCTTCTGTACAGTGTCTGTTCGCCAGCAGTCGAACCTATACAGAGCGTCCCGGATATCGACGTTATGCCGAAAGCTTTATTAAACGAATCATATCTAAAGGCAAAACATTCTAGGTTACGCATTTTAAAAATTAAAGGCATTTAAAGACATCGAAATATCTAAATCCTTTCATGTTGTTTTTATTCCCGTTACTAAAAAAAATAATGCGGTTACAAATTGCAGATTACCTTACTTGACGGGTCTATGTGTTGTGGTGTAAGAAATAGGAACACTTTCGACTGGTGATTTCGTATGCGTATTGCGTATAGCATATCTATAGTATAAAATATCATTGTCATGTATAGTTTGCATAAATTAAGTAGGTACTTGTTTGATTGCATCCTAAAGGTTTATTAAAATACGTTACTTTAAATATATCTAACGAAAACTGTGAATGGTTGTATAGATCGTTTATCTCACATCTCGTACTTCGGCGATAAGGTCAGTTACGTATCGCTTCTTTCATCAGTGAGTCATCAAGAAGTATCACATGATGAATGAAAACTAGCATTAATCATATTACATTAACTTTCTTATTAAGTATTAGAGACTATGTTTACTTCACTTTTGTATATATATTTTTTGTGGAAAAGTTTCAACAAAACCAAATAACATATTTTACTGTTGTAACTTGTTTTATAATTTCCTAACAATTTGCAGCAGCCATTATCACAAACTCCAAGGTCAGGCAAAGTAGTTTATTAAAGTTTGTAATAATTGCTTAACATAAGAAATGTTTAAGTACAATTTAACATTATATAAACTCACCTATTGATGCTGAGGAATTGAGTGCTCCAGATGTATTTAAACTATCGTTTGTTGAATAAAAGTATGTAGTGCCACCAACATTTTCCTGTTTGTGTGAAAATAAATTTCAAGTCAATGTTGAAATATACAGAAATTACCTTTGTATAAAAGGTAGTTAACAAATATAGTATTTTAATCAATAGATACTAAGTAATTTAACTATTCAAATACTTTCAAATTATTTATTACCTGGTGTACTTGAGTATTTTGTGGCCCGCCGGCTAAGGTACATGGTGGAGAACTCTCTGGTGATTCTGGGAGAATGGCTGGTGGGCTGAAGTAGTTTACAGGAACAAATTCACTGATAAGCACCTAATAACAAAATCAATTATAAAAATATATAGTTTTCTCAAATCCTTTAAAATAAATAAATTCATAGATACTATTACCTTTTTAATAGCAGTTGGAGAAGATTCAAGGCTGAGCTTGCCTAAGGCTTGATTTAATGAATGAGTCGGTGTTGATGTGGTATGATTCTGAAAAATTTTACTTAATGAGCTTGCTTTGCAATATTTACAAATATTTAAAACGTCCAATTCATACCATATATGTCGCCAATTTAGATTCTTGGGGCAGCCCATTGGGAGGAGAATATTGTAAAAATATAGAGGGATCCATTACTTCCAGGTTCAGATTCGGCCAGCTGACAATACATATTAAAAAAAAATAAGTAGAAAAAAAACATGATACGGCCAACGTAGGACATGGAGTGATAAATCTTACCCAAAAATTTACAACATTAATATTCCATTTTCTTCATCCGTCCCTCTGTCTCTACGGAATTTATACATCACAGACGACAACAAAGAACCTAAACATTTTTCAAGTGCTTTCTTTTCTGCTTACTGTACTTCGACAGACAATCAAGCCTTACACATATTATATACTATTTCTTTATAAACTAGGCTCATCTTTAATAATAACAACTTTCGACTATTTGATATTCAACAGATTAATTCATATTGTAGAGGAAACACGATTATGTGGGTCAAAATTATCTAAATAACAGTGGATAAGGACACGAAGACAAATACATAATATAACTGTGTACCGTATATGAAATTGTATACGTGTGTATGTATGTATACGCTTTAACCATAAACACGATAATGCTGGCAACCATAGAGTATACATATAAAGCTGGAAAAAGTTTGCAACTGTGCAACTCAAAAATTAAAAGGGATGGCGCTTATGTACACACTATTTAAAAAAATATATTCACCAGATAGTGGTAAAGAGAGAAAAGTACCAACTGAAAAAGGTTACATTTTTAATAAATTATTATTTATAGGTCAAAAAAAGTGTCAGGAGAAAACCAAAGAAAGTAGAGGAAATCAAGTATTTCTTATTTAACTTTTAATATAAACTACTGATTTACATAATATATTACTTAATCTTTTCTAAAATGTCAATAACTGTGCACTTTTCTATTAGAAATAGTAATCATTGCGATGGCATATTATTTTATTTCAAGTAATGATAAATTGGTACCAATAAATGGTGTGGTTGGTAAACCAACCATTCGTGTGTAATAAAAAAGTCGAAATTGGTACTGTACCTATTACTGGTAAGTGGTTTAGTAAAAAATTATACATTCACTTCTTCATATCTATCGATACTTTATGAGTTATTCACGAGACCCTCTAATATATTGATTTTTAGATGGCGAGGGAAAATTAGTTTTCGTAATTGTTGTATTAAATTTATTCTTAGTTATTTTTTTTTAATCATTGTAATTTTTGTTTAACGTTAAACTTTCTGTAATAGTATCCGTGTTTTCTTTAAATCGTAGTTATTTATCGTTTGTTTAAATAATTAACAAATAATTTTTTAATTTAATTGATTCTATCATGTTTTTTTTATTATAGTAATAACGGCTTGGGATTTCTATAGATAACAAATGCGACAGGTCCATTTAATCAAGTTGTCTTTGAATAAACTCATATACGTTTAAATTCTTATTCCGGCTCGTCAACGTGTAAAGTTTTCAGATGTAGGAAAATGAATGTACATTGTACCTACTTCCATCAATGTAATGTCTACATTTCTTGTTAACAATAACAAGAAATATCCATATTGTTTTTCATTTCGTAATATTACTGGAACTAAAATATCTAAATAGGTATAAAATGTAATGTAAACATATGTAATTTCGAATAATTATCGAGCATCATCGGATATCGGATGAACAAACAATGAACAATTGATTATGTAAAAATAATAAAATTTTCGTAGTACAACACTACAATTTTCTAAATTACAGGACTTTGGCAAGTTTCTGTGGAAACAGGCGTAGATTAGGGATGCCATAAGTCTTTTTTTCGACTTTTTATCGATATATCGATATTTATAAAAATATCAATATCGGCCTCGATAAATCGATATATCGGTCAAATTTTCAATTTTAAAAAAAGTGTATTTAGTTCTGTCTGATTCAATGATAAGTAATAGTAATTGTTATACCAAATTAACATTATTTAAATGATTGAGAAACTTTAATAAAACGTTAATTATTTATTAATTTTAATCAAATTTCTTTTATTAATCTAAATTTCTAGCTATGTCATTTATCAAGACGATCGATATTGGCAAAAGAAAAACAAACAGCTTACTTAGTAAGATAAATCAGTTTTTTTAGCCCTGAATAGAATAAAAAAATAACTAATTAAAACACATGTAAAAAAACTTTGTAAAAAAAATCATAAAGAACTTTTTAAAGCGAAGTTAATAATGGGTCAAAAAGATAATGTAAAAAGTTACGTTACGACAATATAAGTAGTAACTTTAGTTGATGCCATTAATATTTTACATGCTATTTTTAAATTAACATAATAATATGTATTAAAATATGTAGAAAAAGTGCGAAAAGATTGCCGCCGCTGTGGGAATCGAACCCACGTCTTCGGCATTCGCGGCCTGACGCTCTAGCCACTGAGCTAAACGGCTGATTACCACACCGACGAAAATCTTAACGCATTCTTCCACATTGTTCACCACGGCGGCAATCTTTTCGCACTTTTTCTACATATTTTAATGTTCAATCTTAAGTGCAAAGATTAGCACTATAAACAATTTAAATTTCTATAATAATATGTAATTAAATATTAATGATTTGAACACCTCTACACCATGTAGTACCTAAGATATGGATAGCATAAAGTACGAAGCGAAATTGTACTGTAAATACCATAATTATAGTACAAAATGTAACTCTGCATCCGCGACAATACTAGTAATAGACCACAGTTTTTTTCCGTTCATTTTTATCTTTTACGGCTTTCAATGAATTTGAATAAAAATATTGTTTTTGATACAATTTCGATATTCAATTTTTTATATCGATATATTTGATCAAAATATATCGGCCAAAAAATATCGACATATTTTTAAAAATATATCGATATATCGATATTTTTTCGGCATCCCTAGCGTAGACAATTTTATGGTGCTGAAAATTAATGACATGAAAACGCAACGTTGAAACTCGTTGTATTCGGTGTGTTTTGATTTTAACAGGATAATAAATAGAGATGTGAACGATTTTTTTTTCATCGAAAGTGTAGGTGCAAATGTTCAGAAAATCATTGTCTAAAATAACACTAAAATAATAAAAATAACACGAAATTAAAGTAAAAGATAGTATTAGCTTAATAATTTATAAAATTTATGTTTACTGTACTACTGATTATAAGGTAAAAGACATCACTAATCATCCACCCATATTTACAAGTTTGGTTTTCTTTTTCACCATTTTATGTCACTCGATCGACGATCACTTCTATATACTAAACTAAACATAAAACGTCCAAACGAAGTTTCTGCCCCTCGTTATTTCTATCATTACTTAATTTTATAAAGTTTTAATTGTCTAAGTTAGTTTCGTGTAGTAATCCCTGACAATTAAATATAACTCCGGCGTTATAAATTAAAGCAGGAATGTTGTGAATAATCTGTATTGTTTACAAGATAAAATTAAGGAAGAAAATTTGCAGACGTCACATTAGTAATAGTAAGTGAGAAATATATAATCAAGGTATGTTTTAAAATAACTAAAATTTATTTTAAATATTATCTGTAAGGTTACGCACTAAGTTCGTAAAATTTATTTTATTCTAGAATGGAGGCTTCGTACCAAGGTGGTGTTTTATACGACGAGACTGATAATTTTCAGCGTTTATCTCAAACAATTGCGAGTAATATAAAGAAAATTTCCCAAAATGGTAAGATTTATTTATTAAAAGCGGAGTGCTTTATTATACATCAAATAATGTTCGTAAAAGGACAGAATTTTCTTCACAACTCTTCATCTCTGAATTTCAATTATGATGATTGAAATTGCATCGACATTTATTTGATTGTTTTGGTAATTTTTTTTGGAAACACAGGCGTTGATTATGAATGTATTATAACTGTTATAGCAACAGGAAAAATACTTTTATTTGACTTCCAATATCATATTTAGTATTTGGTATTTGGCCTAGTCATCTATATTTGGTATTTGGAAAGGTAGCACAATGTAGCTGAATGAATGAATTCCAAATAATAGCTGAATATTTGTTGCAAGTTTAAAAAGATAATATGCTGTTTTTAATGTTTAACCCTTCAGTGAATTTAAATAATTTATTTTAGCATATATTTTGATAGTATATAAGTTTTATCAATTTCAGTTTCTTCAATGTCAAAAATGGTCAATCAGCTTCAAACACCTCAAGATTCTCAAGAACTCAGGAGTCAGCTGTAAGTATATTTTTCTTTTCAGAGAAAAGTATTTGTTTATTAATAATGGAAAGTTACAGATTTTTGCAGCCTTTAAGAGCTGGTAAATAGGTGTATGACACAGTTACATGCAAATTCACTTGTGCCTATGTAGAGATTCATCAGATAGTACCTCACTTATATAGCAAAACTGAGAAATACCCTGCTGCAAAAGCTGTACTACACAGTTGAATTTACAATTACTGTTAGTATGGGATATTAAATATCCTATACTAACCCACTCATAATGTTTTTGTTCCAAAGTAATAGCCATTTTATATATACATTGTTCAACATACATAACTCAAACACTGTACTGTTAAAAACAATGGCACATCCATTGTTTTTTAGCATTGCTAAAAAACAATATAGGTAAATGACATTGAGAATTTAGTCGGTGTGGAAATCAGCCATTTAGCTTAGTGGCTAGAGCGTCAGGGCATGTATCCCGAAAGCGTGAGTTTCCATAGCCCTAAGAGACTTTTCGTTCCTTTTTTCTACAAATTTTAATGTTAAAAAAACTATTTCTATTTCGATTATTGGGAAAGTTTTTGGTTTAATTAAACACAAATAATGGAAATTTTAATATATCTTTTAAGCCGTCAAATTCAAAATTACACGCAGAAGCTAGCAAAAGATACTTCTTCAATGCTTATGGAGTTAATGAAGCTGCCAGTGGACCAACCTGCACAGAAACTACAACGTGACCGCCTTAGTGATGAATATATTAGCACACTCAATGCATTTCAGGTGAGTTTTGTACTTTGATTTAAATATTCTAGTAAATAAACATGATTTTTTAAATGCAGTGAATTCACTGAACATACATAATTACAATCTAATAAACCAAGCTCATTTGGCATTGCATCAAGAATATTAGCTGCATTACCTTGCAGAACCTGAGCGAGAATATAATTTACCCTCTTAAATGATATATTTTTAAATGATAATATTATAGTTTTTCATTTTCATACATTTATAAAAGGTTTAATAAATTTTATGCTTAATCTCAGTTTTTCTTTAAACATGTAATAAAATAAAATTTATGTTAAAGGTATACTTGTGAGATTAATTTTACTCATAAGCATAACTAGAACAAGAACCACTTATGGTACTGTTCTCTAGAATCAGGAAATACCCAGGTGTTGCTACTACCTAGGTAAATTACTACAGAAATTTCCCAATCAAGCGCTGTAGCATTTAGTGTTTGCAGTAGTTAGCTGTTGTTCTGTTTTATTTTAATAAATATCATATACAATATTTGTTTTTAGTGTATCACAGTTAATAAATAGGTTCATGAATATCTAAGTAATGTACGATAATTGTATGTGCTAAACTTGAAAAAGAAACCTCCATTTGAATGATATGCCTTTGCAGTGCAGTATGTATACATTTAATGAAATAATAAGTTCTATTCTATGAGGTTCAGTATTTTTGAAGTAATCAGAATATGTAAAATATTGGGTCCTTTAAAACATTTTCTTTAAATTTATTATCTTCACAACATACCAAGCATGTGTACGCTAGAGCTCTGTTCATGTGTGTATTGTCTCTTCCAAATAAAGTTGCTGACATGAATTGACCAATGTGGCATCTGTTACATGTAAAATAATAAGTACCTATGTTATAATGTTATATTATACTTACTTAATTTAATTTGTTACATGAAATGATTGTTTTTAAGGTTTCCTTGGTTTGATAGTAATGTCTGACTACACTATCAATTTGGGTTAGCATGTAGCTGTGTATGTGTGTAATAAATCAATAAAAAACTTATTTATTTATTCTGGAAAACAACAGCATATTATATAACAGTTTTTCCAGATTATCACACCTTATTAAAACCCAATTACAGTTTTCCGCATTTTAGCATACGAAGCGAGAATACAGCATAAATCAAACTTAAGGCGTGCATGAAAATTATTTTTTTAGACTCCTTTGGCATATTGTAAAGCTCAAAGGTAACATTACAATGAAAACCGTTACTCTATATACTGCGATTAGAATTCTTACTTATGTATGAAGAGAAAGTCAGATAAGCAAGTAAGATTAGTCATAAAACAGAAAGGTGTATATTGCAAAAATACATATTCAAATTGCGATCGCGCTTGTCTTATCGGACGTACACCTGAAAATTTTGTGATATGAGGGAGATATAAAGTCATAAGTATTCGACTTTGTTTAATAATATTTGAAAGGAAAGAAGAAACTAAATAATACCAACGTAAACAATGAAGACAAATAACTGGCGACTTTTTCAGCAAAGCACTGATATAATATTATTATCGAGCATGGTTAGCTAAAGCTAATAATAATCTTGTTTCTATATCGATGGAGTAATTAATAGTGTATCGTTTTACTAAAATAATATTATAATGACATTCAAAGACATCGGAAAGTTAAAAAAAATTTATTTGCTTTATAACCTGTTGCTACGCTTCCTAAAATTTGTGATAAAGGAAAGCGAATTATTCTTCTTGAAGTTTAAATGATATATTTAGATATTATAAATGCTGTCTGTTAGATATTTTTGTTAAATACGAGTTAAATATTGAATTATTATATTAGACATGCCGATTTAAGTTTAAGTAGGAAACAGCCAGCTAGTAATTAACAATACGAGCGGCAAATTTCATTCTCTGTGAAATACTGCCCAGGCTTAACGTATTTCACCAAATTCAATAACAATTGATTTCAATGTTAAGGAATGATGGTTTAGCGTGCATTCAAAAAAGGTCGAGTGGTGTCCTATATCATCTTGTTTTGTGCACTACTCGTATTTTGCACGTTGGTTTGTTATTTAACACACTGTCTTACCATGTTCCGCAGGCCACTCAGAGATCGGCCGCTCAGAAGACCAAGGAAGATGTGCGCAAAGTCAAGGCCCAAACAATCAATATCGTTGCCCCGTTCGCCATGAACAGTAAGTTATTGCGTCACAGAATTACGAGAGTAAGTCCATTAGCGGTTGTGAACAGTTTTTAGAGCCAATTGCTAGGTATTCTTGGGGTATTAGAGGCTATTTATAGTTGCACCCCACCGCCCATAAATGAGCACTAAGGAATCATCTTTTGAATTTAATTAAGCTTGCACCATTGGATATTAATGATATTTCACTCACTGCTCGAAATTCTATAATGGATATTTTATAATTTTATCACATAGCTCATCAACAACTCATTAACATTAGTTTTATCAATAATTTTATCGTGTTGGGCCACGCGGCAGTCTCGTCTGTTCGTGGAAGTGAACATTTACCACCAGTCTAAGGTGCTCACTTGACATCTTTAAAGAAAAGAAGAAAATTGAAAAGTTAAAGTTGACAAACATAGGGGCAAAAGTTATTAACTGTTTGACTTTCGCCTATTTATATACAGGCGATGCCCTTAAAGTTTATTGTGTTTACATGTCTATGCTCATTAAAGTTCTCAATAACAAAATTCAACTCGTGAGTCATGCAACGACTATATGAATTACTGTGAAACGAGCAAATATCGCAACACAAGTAACGCTTTCCAATTCAACCGAATGCAACGTGTTATTATAATACTGCGTTAGGTTTCTCATTAGACCTTAGGGCCACGTGCATACTCTTAGTAAGCAAAATTTGATTCATGAAATTTTTATTTAATGTAACATAATCTTACATTAAATAAAAATTTCATGAATCAAATTTTGTATTTAGATCAGATGACGCTTTTAAGTTTTTCAGCATTTATTTATCTGGATCTTTATTGAAAAGATAATTTTTCTATTTTAATAGTGTTGCTATTGTATTAGATAGTAAACAGGCGCTATATTATTAGGGGAAATTAATCAACGAGTAGCACTACCAAAACATCACTATTTAAAAAAAGCCGAATGAATATCTATCGCCGAGGTGCTTGCAAGTTAACCGAGGACCGACTTTTACCTTCAATCATGGGTTGGACGCTGCCGGCCTAACATCCCATTGTAGTTCGCCACCCCTATTTTCGTCTTCCGCAGGTAACAATAAGGAGCAGCTGGTGGAGATGGGTGACACGAACGTGCGCAGGCAGGAACAGATGACGGTCCAGTCAGAACGCGAGCTGCTTGAGCTCGAGGAGAGAGAGAGGGACATTCGACAGCTGGAAGTGAGCACCGGCATACCTTAGTTTCTTACGTAACCGTATAATTTCCATCAACCGTTAACACAAGTATAGTATCGGCATACATCCAAGGCTGGGCAAAGGCGTCCTCTATAGTCTCGTATAGGGGGTATAAGGGCGTAGTCCACCACGCGACTCCACTGAAGATTGGCAGGCTTCACATATCTTCGAAATATATTTTTTCGATTATTAAACATATTTTTATTACATTACGAATATATGCACGTTTCCTCACGATGTTTTCCTTCACCATGAGCACGCGATAAGACAGCACTTAAAATCAACAATTTTATTGGTCGTCGATCGCGATTTGAACTCGGGTTGCTCGAGTATAACGAAATAAAAGCGAGTGCCCGCTTAGTATAAATTTACCGTGATAAAAACAATTTTGCGTTAATCCAGCATGCTGCTGTCGCAACTCAAATTTTATTTATATCAATAATTATAACAGACATACCTCAATGTTTCCAAAGTTTGATACTCATGCACATGTATTATGAAATGAGTATAGAATTTTTTCTATCGTATAAGAATCGAATCGAATTAAAGTTACAGGAGAATACAAACTCTATTGTATAAAAGTTGCGTTAGGTATCATTTATATCTATGTTTAAACGCCAAAAAATCGTGTATATGAATACTAAATAGTCATATTAAAATCTGTAGAAAATCTGCTACTACCAGAGTCTGTTAAAAAATTCCCACAATTTAACCACAGGTTTTTCTAGAAACGAAATATTGCGTTTCTGTCGGTACGTACATCTTGAAGGACCACTACTTATAAAATAAAATATACTTGATAAAACTGGAAATGGTATCTACAACCCATTCCGTACAAACATACAAAGAGCACTCCAGAACATAGTTACGCACAGGCACGTTAGACTTGCATCACCCCTCTTTTTACGTCGGGGATTAAAAAAAAATAAAGACAAATAAGCAGCATTCGCAGTCTTCACGCACCAAAAATGGTTATAAAATAGTAAAGAAAGTCAACTGCGCTCATTTCAGACTGACATCATGGACGTGAACCAGATATTCAAGGAGTTGGGCTCCATGATCCACGACCAGGGCGCTGTGGTCGACTCCATAGAGTCAAGCGTCGAGTATACCGTGCAGAACGTAGAAAGCGGCACTCAGGAGCTGAGGCAGGCGGTCAACTACAAGGTAGCCAATACATATCTTTTAGTATATACATCTTGTTACTACGCCATGCCATTTTTGTTCGGACTCGTTTGAGAAGGTACAGATTTATGCTGCACCGGGCTTTATGGACGTCAATAGGCGATGGGCATAACTTAACATCAAACGATCCGTGTGCCCGATTTCGACTCTCCCTTATAATCAAGCGGATGCCAGTATAATTTGTTTATAGTGTTTTAATCAAATAATATAAATGTAAGTGCTCTTGTAACTCTGTCGAGTACAGTCTGTCTTTTTTATATAATATTATAGTAATGTCTTTTATTATAATATTAAATCACGTAGTATACGATACGGTTCACAGCTATGCGAGTATAACATGTAAGGGTAGAACGTCTACCCTTTCCGGTAGCTAAGGTTTTCAACAAATTGGTTACTAGTTTAATCGCCGGTGTGATAGATATAGTACTAGCCTCAATAAGCTTTGCTAATGTGTTTGCCAACAGGCCTTATTAAAAGCCAATTTTTGTTTAACCAAATAAATCTAAAATAGTATTCGAAACCGCGAACCACAAGCACTTACCGAGGTCGTAGCCAAAGGGAAGGCCAAAAGGCTTTCACTCGGTACTTCAATAAACCTATAAAACTTATCTATATGTCATTATTATATTTTAATAAAATACACAAAATACTGCGGCTGGAATGTAACAAGATTTTATTTTAGCTGTTTGTTGTATGAGAGTTTTATTCAGTGATTATGGTAAGTAATGTCGCTAAACTGAATATGTGTTTTGCTTCGATTTCAGAATAAGCTGAGGAAGAAGAAAGTTTATCTGGCGATAATTCTAATAATAATCATATCGATTCTGCTGATTATCATTTTTAATCGTTGAGCAGCGGGCTGCAAACGCTACATATTGTTTATATATAACATACAAGCAAATATTTCTAGATTTAATATTATATTGTCATGCGCGTGTAGCTTCCCGTTTAAGTAGTTATAATGATGTTTGTTCAAAATTATACAGCAATGCCTTTTTTGGCCGTAATCCAGATCACCAAAATGTTTTTTGACGATTTGTGAATTAGGTAAGTATTAAGATTAAGTAAGTGCGAAAATTCGATAGTAGAAATAGCATTATGTAGAATTTCAGGTATCGTTTTGGCCATCGCGTATATTTGTAGGAGCCTAAGAAGAAATAATAAAATTGTTCGAATTCAATTCGTATTAAACGTGGAATCATGAACGTGCAGAATCAATAAGGGGTTTTTGTAGAACATCGCTACCGACGGTTAACATTTTTTTCAGAAGAAGGTTTTCTATCTTTATTACTTTGAAGGAATGTATGATATCGAAATGATTTTTAATGATCCTTACATAACTATTTATTGATTATCGTTTTATTAAATTCGTCACTTCGAATTTACTAAATCTGTCGCTTATTACAAAATGGATAATCAAACTTACCGTCTCTAACTTAATGCATAGTGCAAAAGTAAAAAGCGATTTTAGCGATGTTCTGCCTAAATGTCTTGATATTGTATTCGCTAATCTATAGAAAACCATCTTAAAGGTAGCTCCCCTCACTATACGGTACTTTCGTAGATGCACACGTATGCGAATTAAAGCAATAAACTGTAATATCTACTTTATTATTGTTTTTAAACGAATATAACTAACTACTCGTATCGTATCGTACTGTTTAGGCTTTAATGGTCATAGTGCAAAATCATGCATTATTGTCAGTTTACAACTAATGGCTAGCTCTATAAGCAATATTATGAGTAGAAGGAGTGATTTATCATGTTCCTGTATGTAAAGTTCTAGAAATTTATCACCATACAGTAATTTAAACGTATTTACTGGGAAGGTTTTAATTTTTTATTCGGTCCCATTGCCTTTTGAAATTTTTATTCGGAGGTAGACGCTTAAGTTGAAGATTTGTTCCAATCATATTATTATGTGCCTTTTAATACACAGTCGTGGTAGAGATATAAAGTAACATTTCACTCAAACATTGGTCTATACTCTCCGCATATAGCAAAAAGTTACAATTGAGCTAGCGCGCTTACCATCGACGGCTGCATCGCCACTTACCATCAGATGGGATGGCAGTCAGGTACTAGTCGTATTTGAATTAAAAAAAAATTAAATACCGAAGGTATTCTTCTAAAGACCGCTCCCCAATTATAACCGTTCGTCATGAATGTGCGTGTCAGATTGAGACAGATATGAATAACGTAACTAGATTTACAAGTAGAATGGGGAGAAATCAATTTGGCGTAATCCAATACGATATTGTATGAACGTTCAAATTGTGGTTGAATCTTAAAATCGTACTGATTTTAAGTTTAAATCACAATTCCGCCGTTACGTATACTTTACGTACATAAGTCGTGCGTTTATATTTAAGTGTTGGCAGAGACCTCGAAGTCCATTGCCAAAGAAAATAATTGATTGCCTTATTGTAAAAGATCAATGATTTCATGATGTAAAAATTATTCAAACGACCTTTATTCTTTCGATATTAGGGTTTTACATCGTAGTAGTTTGTAGAAAGCTTATTTATATACAGTGCTTTTAGATTAATATTAAACCAGATTAATATTAAACCGGCTGGAAAGCCTCAACTGGTTGCAGTGTAGACATTACGTACGTCATAATGTCTTTATTATAAAACACCTAAGTGGCTATATCGTAGTGTCGAAAATATAGTGGTAAAATCTGCATCGTATTATGCAGTCATTTTAATAGATCGCTTTACTAAAGTTCAAAATATATATGCCTTGTTAACCTAAGTCGCGTATTAAAGCTAGGTACTATTATTAAATGCAGTGCAAAGTAAGTATTTGCAAAGTAAATATACCAATCAAAAGGAAATATTTTAAATAGTAACCAAGACCAAAATCTTTAGCGTAACATACATATACATTAGTTTAGTAACAATATACATATATAATAATTATGTTTGGCGAACGACAAAAAATGAATTGAGTATTCGTGCCTTTTGACTTATTACTACCACCATTTGCGAGTTTTTTGAAGGAGTGTTATGAACATTGGTCTGGTCATATATAATATACATAAATATATAATATACATAATAATTGACATGTGTTTTTTTCCAAAGAAGCCGATATTCGACATGTATCTTATGTTATCACACTGAGTCTTTTTGTGCCATTTTACTGTAATATCTTAAAAGAACACCAAGTAATAACTACCAACTATGTTTCTTCTTTATATAGTTTATATCATTGTAATATATTGTGAAGAGTTTTTGTTTATTCATAAAAACGATCTCTTGATTTTTATTAAATTAATATAATTTTATACATCTTATTACTATATTTTCAAAAGTCCTCCGAATTCAATTGCTTTTAGCAAATTTTGGTAAATTATAAGTGTCAAAATTAATTTGTTAAGTAAAACATATTAGTGGCTTAATAAGTAAAAAGGAGAAACTCACTATAACGTATTAACATTGCAATTAGCAACTTGAACGTAGTGCAAACTTTAATACATAAGTACTTAATATTATTGGAAAATTTAGAGTTTAGAAATATTTATTTAAAAATGTCATCAACATTTTTCTGTTTTTATTTAAATTAAGTGTCGCGCAAGTCATAATGGCAGTGAAGTGAGCCGCAGGTACAGTCAAATTCACACTTGTAGACGTTCAAATTATATAAAAAATCTATTCTTCTTTGTACCAAGCTATACTACAAAACCCAAGCTTTAGTATCTTTGGCACTAATAATAGAACTACAATTATAATCAGACGAATAGGGACGGGAAATAATAAGACATTTGTTTCAGTGCATGGGCAGTAAATTAGGTAAATTTTTTTATGCGAGAATGTGGCAAACGAGCTGGCGGTTCACCTGGTGTTAAGTGATAACCGCCACCCATTATTTATATTTGCAACACTCACAGGATTGCAGATGTGTTGCCACCTTTTCATGAAGTGGGCCTCGGCTACCTCACTCACCAGACAAAACGGAGAAATAAAATAAAACTGACTCAGACGGACCTGCCCATTCGTGCAACATAAAATACTGTTGCATTGTCCTACCACAGTTAAGCGGATATATAAAACATATGAGTATTTATTTTAAAGGTATCTAAACTAACTAATTAACTAAGGAATAAAAAAACGATAAAATAAAACCTCCAGAATTTTATATGGAAAGTTATTTTTTGTTACCCTATAAAATACCTTTTCTGTCGGTTCCAGCATATAAGTTTTCTTCGTGACCTCATAATTTACAACTGGCAAAAGTCTTATATACAACCAGACCCAGCAAAACTTCATCTTCGTTGTTCTCTGATGGTCTGTCTCTCGAGTATCTTTAATAGTAATAATGCTTCAGGTGAATCGCTAGATTGTTTGCCTACTTATCAGAAGACAAAAAAACTTTAATCATGTACTCAACACTCGTTTTGATTTTTGAGACACGTTTAGTAATTATATAACATTTTGACGTTATTGGCTTCGGGTTACGTGAGATTTTATTGTAATTACATTATACATATTGGATTTAAGTGATGTACGCCTCATTCGCAACGATCAAATTTTGAATAGGCTGTACTTGGTTGTCCGTGGATGAGAGCATAAATGTGAGAACACTCACTTGCCGCTAACTTCACAGACGTCATTAAGTTTGGCGCGACCGAAAACCATTTCCTTTGTTTTTGCTGTATCGCAGATTTTTTTCCCGGTGTAATAGATAATTATAACCAAACAAACAAGATGAATGTCATTAAAAGTGACCATTTACATACAGTTTAAACCAGCATCAGTAAATAGCATTGTCCTTACCAAAGCTAGCGTTATATAAGACATAAATATTTACATAACTTTCCACTATATTTACAATTTTTCAAAATTCACGAAAGTTTATACTCAATAAGAAGTGTGATATCGAACAAGTTTACAGTTCAAAAATGTAATCTTAACACTCAATTAACTACGTGCAAAATGTCTGTGTGCAATTATATGCTTTATTCAATATTGCAGAGCCATAAGTACGCGAATTCAAGCTAGAATTTCTAAACGGATCAGCAGTTCACTAAAACAAAACTGATTGACATGATCCAATTGAAGGACGATGGTTATCATTTTTCGTATTTATCATTGCATGATTTATTGTAAGTTTATATACCTTGTAAATAATTTACTAGCACGAGAAATTTATATTGGATATTATTATTATAGGGTTCATTGTATGGCGAAATATTTATGATGATTGCCAATATTTTATATTGTAGATTTTGTTAATATGAATTATATGTATCATTCATTATTGCTGTTTTATTTACCTTAATATATTAGTTATGATTAAAAACATGTTTTAATGTAATTCTATCAATAATTGGTTTTTTGCTCGATATGATTATACCATATCGTGATTGTTGAACACAAAATTTGAGATAATTTATACTGCGCGCTCCTAAGGCTCGTATGACTTCGAGGTACTTCAGAAGCGCATAAAACGTAAAGATATAATGCATACTTAATATTATAAATGTGAAAGTAACTCTGTCTGTCTGTCTCGTATTCACGCCAAAACTACTGAACCAATTTAAATGTAAGTTGGTACACAGATAGTCTAGAGCCTGAGAAAGGATATATGCAAATTTGATTGCAAAAAAGTGTTGTAAAATGTTGAAAATATCTTACTTAAAAAAATGTATATATTTTTAAAGAAAGATATTTATCTAAGAGCATCAACACGAGCGAAGCCGCTGGTGAAAAGGTAGTATGATATATAAAAGAGCTACGCGATATATTTACAATACAATGTGCGACAATGTACTGTAAAGTTACGCGATATTATGTCATTTAGAAACCAACATTAACGATAGGTTTCATTATTCTTTCTATCT